TTTTCATATGTTTCTGTTCATCTTCCAACATGTGTTCTAATTGCCTCTGTTTCCTCCAAGCACCCATGGGCTCTGGAAGAAAGGAAAGGGCTTTAGCCAAAAGAAAAAATGTCACAAGTGGCCAACACCCCTGAAAGAACAAGATACGAAGCACAAAAATTGCTTCCCTGGAAGCTAGAGAGGTATGTGCAAAATGATATAGATGATGATATAGATATGTGCAATGATGTGAGCATCACCTGTATTTATTAAAGTGGCAGCAGTTGACCAAGCAGAGGACTGGAGGGAGTACTAGCAGACAATAGAGCAAAGGTATCAAAGCTATAGGCAGTAGGTCAATAATTATATAATACAAGTGATCGCCATGTCCATCTTCTGAGTATTCCTAAAGGAAAGAGTGAGGGAGGTTGTGTAATACTGGATTACTCAACTTTTCTGAGGAAAATGAGGTTAATAATAAGTATTCCTATTTCTTAGGTTTGTTGCCTAGGATTACATCATATAACAAACATTTGAAACAAATATGTCAGTTGTTACATCAATAAAAACATTAATTTATTAAAATGGTTACAGTGACTTACAGTCACTCTAATACAGGTCCTACAATTCTGGGAATATACCAGACACACAGCTACCTCAGTGTCTGACTATGACATTCTTTTTGCCTGGAGAACTCTTTCTCTAAATACTTTCATGGCTAGCTCCTTATTTCCCTAAAGTCATTTACTCTAATGTCACTTTATCAAGTTCTTTCCTGATCATCTTGGAATACTTTATTTTCCTACCCTGCTTTATTTTCTCTGTAGCATATAGTTTCATCTAATATACTATGTATTTTACTTTTGGTTTTCTGTTCCACTTCACTAGAATATAAATTCCATAAAGTATGGAGGTTTTTTAAATGTGTATGTGTCCCCTCCTCACCAGCCACTGCTAGGTCTTTAGGGCCTGAAACAGAATAAGACAGTCAAATATCTGTTGAATATGCAAAAGATGTTCACTAACCAGAACATTCTCTACCTGATACTAGGCATAAGGGGGGTCTGTGAGCATAAGGATATCTTTTGTTATTCTCAGAAAGTCTTGAAAAGTACCTGAAGCTTCTACTAGCCCTTGAAATAATTTAAACATTTGATTCATTCATTCTACTCACTCATTTATTCATTCACTAGTCACATTTAAATATGCCAGATACTACCATATTACCAGGGATTAAGTGACATTTTTTTTTTTAAAGAGAGAGAGAGAGAGAGAGAGAGAGAGAGAGAGAGAGAATTTTTAATATTTATTTTTTAGTTTTTGGCGGACACAACATCTTTGTTTTTGTATGTGGTGCTGAAGATCCAACCTGGGCCACACACATGCCAGGCGAGCGCTCTACCGCATGAGCCACATCCCCAGCCCAAGTGATAAAATTTTAAAAAATTTTTTTAAAAAATATTTTTTAGGGAAGCGGTTCAATGGCAAAGCGGCAAAGCGCTTGCCTGGCATTGAAGCAAAAAGAAAAGAAAAAAAAAATTGACAGATAAATGAACCCAAAGGGCTGGGATTGTGGCTCAGCGGTAAACTGCTCGCCTAGCACTTGTGAGGCCCTGGGTTCGATCCTCAGCACCACAAAAAAAAAATAAATAAAATGAAAAAAAAGTTAATAAAAATTTTTAAAAATATATTTTTAGTTGTTGATGTACCTTTATTTTTTATTTATTTATATGTGGTGCTGACTATGGAACCCAGTGCCCCACACATGCTAGGCAAGCGATCTGCCACTGAGCCACAACTCCAGCCCACTATGACAAACTTTTATGACAAACATATTCTAGTTGGAACAGAGATGGAATTGAAGTGTACTGAGAAAACAGAAGAACCATGTGTCTCCTTACTGTCATTTCACTGTTAGGTATATTTTATATATATAATTATTTATTTATTTTTTTCTTGAAGCCCTGGGGATTGAACACTGGGCCTCACACATGCAAGCAAGTGTTCTATCAGAGCTAAACCCTAAGCCCAGGAATAAAAGTCCTTGTTATATATACTCATTCATATTTTATTTCTTATACTTCTCTATGCTATCTCCCCTTGACCTAGTACTATTTAATAAAGCATTAAGACTCTCATTTTTCCCTTCAAAAGGGAGTTTTCAGACAATTACTGCATTTGGCTGAGATCCAAATCAAAAATCAGAGTCAGCTCTGAAGAATCAAACCGAGGTGATTATGTAAATGGCAGTATGCAAGAGCAAAATCTAGGAGATGTATGGTGAAGAGATTTTATTGGATAAGTGGTTTCATTTTATTTTAGATAAATAAATGATACAAAGCTTTAGATACAAGGAAAAAAATCTTACTTCCTGAAGGCATTCATTCATTCATTAAAAATTTAGAATTATCTAATGAGATCCTAGTTCACAACTAGCACAACATAATGCTCTATATGAACACACACAAAAAAATGTAAGATAATAGATTCCACTCTGTAGCAAATGGCGCTTTTGTTAAGGAGACAAGGCAGAAAAATATCATGAAGATAAATAAAACTATAAAGAAACAGTGCATCCACCTCAGTCCTCATTCGTCGAGCTATTTTGATTTCTCTTGACTCTCTGACCACACTGGATTATAGCTACGGCTACAATTAATCACTTTGTCTTCTCTCTATATCCCCCATCCTTTGATTTCACCTCACTTTCATCTTTTCTATTATTCAAATCAGGATTCTTTTGATCCCAGGCTGTGGAGTTGGAGAAAAATCAAATCATTTAGTGTCTCGTAATCTTCAGCAGGTTTCAATTTAATGTTTACAGGTAATCTGAACATAGGCTTGGTAAATGAGGTAGGAATTTTAACAACTATTGGAAAACCTTAGGTATTTAAACCCGGTCACTAAGAATGAAAGGTCCTAGAAAAGCAGATTATATTGAGACAAGGAGACAAAGTCTAAATTCATACCCTGGAGTCATTTTAACAAATATAGGAGACTTTTACATATATTTGAAAGAAATTTGTGCTATTAATCAGTTTGGGCAGACAGAGGAGACCAAGAATTCTCGCATATACCGTCATGGTGTCATTCGAGGCGTTCCCTTCCAGGTAAGGCTTGAGAGGGAGGAAATCTAATGGTACTATCTAGCACTTCGAATTCCAGATGTCTGAAACAGACTTGCACCGAGACGGCTCCACACTTCTTTAAAGGTGCGGAAAGAATTTAAAAATAATAAAAAGCGAACCCTTTTCCGTTTGATAAAGCAGTCGGGTGGCGACAAAGCTCTTTTCGAGCCCTGAAATGTCTCGCGATATTCTCGTGGCCCACTACTCCACCTCCTATGGCGGGAACATTACGGAAGTGACTGCATTCTCTGCGGCAGTCTTCTGTCGGAAGTGACGTAAATATCCCAGAATCCTTGGAGGAAGGGACGCGCTTGCCTGCGGTCCTCATGCAGTCCAACGTGGAACGTTTAGCCAGCGTGGTTTGAGCTTTCACGGGAAGGCGTGGACGATTGTGCTCTAAGCTTCGGCTTAGCGGGCCTTTTTTGGCTGCGAAGTTGGTGGGTCTTTTTGCACTGGTACAAGAGCTCGTGGCGGGCCGCGCGGCGCCGTGACCTGGCCTCACTATGTTGGTGCTATTTGAAACGTCGGTTGGCTACGCCATCTTTAAGGTAGGTGGGAGATTGAGCCGTTGGAGGGGAAGGCCTGTATTGAACAAGCGAGAAGAGGGATAAAGGAGAGGCCGAAAGAACAGAGGATCGTGTGGATACCTTTTAGGTCGCCGGGCTCGGAAAGGAAGGAAAGGCCTGAGGGTCCGGTGTTGCGGTGAGCACGTGGCCCCGCCGTTTGGGCGACCCTTTCTGCTTTAGAGAATTTGGCTTAGTTGAAGAGGTGGTCAGGAGCCGTGTTAAGGAAAGTTCTGTATTGTAAATTTTAAAAAAAGAAGGTTCTGCATTTATTTTAAAGAGCTCGAGTTTTATTGGGTTCTTTGAGGAATGATGGAAAGCTTTTAAACAGAGGAGTAACCTGATGTAATATGTCTTTTAACAAAGGTTATTCTATGTTAAGACTATGTTACAGGGAGGGAAGCAAGGATATATTTGCACTAATTAAAACAAGTTGAGATTGCTTGTGTTGAAAGTTATGGAGGTGAACGGTGAGGACTCTAAAAGGTAGGAACTTAAGATGGTTAGGTAAGAAGGCTCTTCTTGGCCACGGCTGCTGGAGATTTGTGGATCTGGGGTATGTGAAACTTGCATTGTCTTTTAAAATTTTAAAGTCAATTGTGTAGATGGGTACACTTCAGAATTTCAGGTTTGAAGATTAGAGGAGAAATCTGAGCTAGTGATACCAATATGAGACTTGATTGTTTTAATAGGAAAAGTTTGCACGGAAATGGTTTAACAGTGAGACATTCGTATAGTGGAATGTTATTGGAGTCTTAGAAGGAAAGAGCTAGGTTGAGTGCTCACCATGTGCTAGTCAGGATCTTTTCAAATATAGCAACGAAAAACAAAGTTTTCATATTCTAGGTGTGTGTGTTGATATAAGACAAAAGTGTTAGAACATGGTACAGTTTCAGTTGTCAATCAAAAAACTCAAGTTTGTATTTGTGGTAGGAATCCGAAAGTACAGAAAACTTAACTTTTGACATTTGAAAATATACTTTTATGTGCATTTGTTATGTCAGATACTTATTTTTTTAAGGAAACCAGTGAAATAATAATTTAAAGCCAAAATACAGCTTTGCTTATTTTTCTTGTCATTGGAGTAATCTGTAAGTAATTGCAGTATTGGCAATTTTAAGGAACTTTTAGAGCCTTCGTTCCCATTAGATCTCTAAAATGTGTTTATTTTTCCTTTCTCCAGTCTTTTGGAATCTAGATTCTTTTTTTAGAATTCTGGGTATGCCCTAATTTCTCTTATTCATATGATCTGTCATATTTTGAATCAGTGTCTATCAATGAGTCTGGTGGATTGATTTTAATGCTATTCTGAACTGGATGTTAGGAGGAAGCATGTTTGCAATCTACTGGATGCCTCTGATTGTATGAAAGGGAATTGGTTTAGCAACTGTCTGATTTCTAGATGTGGGTCATAAGACTAAAGTATACAACCATGTCTCTTGATGAGTTTCTGGTTTATATTATTGAAGAATACCCTGGCTTATAAAAATAAGTATTTTGTTACAGTCTTCAATGTTATTTCTCTGCAAGTTACTGTTCAAAATTAATGTGGTTTTTGTAACCTAAAGTCAGGCTTGAATATAGAATACTGATTATTTCATAACTTTTAGCATTAATATTCGTTATTGATTTCTTCTGAATAAAACAATGTTCTGAAGTTAAATAGCAGCAATGATCACAATTTTGTGAAACAAATTACATACTTCAGAAGGTAAATATTGTAGGACGTGAATTATCAAAAAGGTAGACATACAGTACATATTTATTAGCTTCCCATAGTCTTTAAAAATACTGGGGTATAAAATTATATTGGTTACAAGAAAATTCCTGTTTTGAGAATGCTTTAAGAAATTTTTTTCACCTCAATTTATGTGGAATGTTTCATATACAACCCAGTGTACACATAAAATTCTATATATATAGTAAAAGTAAATTTAGAAGTTTTATTAGTCATTAAGAAGATTATATAGGGCTTGGAGGTATGTCCTAGGTGTCCTAGTACAGGCCTTATGTTCAATTTCTAGTCCCACACACACACACAAAAGAGTTTTTTTTTTTAATATGTACTAATGCAAAGATTGTTATAGCAACTATTGTAGTTACTTTGGGGGCAGGGTACCAGAGATGGAATCCAGGGATGCTTAACCACTGAGCCACATCCCCGGTTGTTTTTATATTTTATTGAAGAGGAGGGAGGGCCCTGGGGTTGTGGCTCAGTGGTAGAGTGCTCGCCCAGCATGCACGAGGCACTGGGTTTGATCCTCAGCACCACATAAGCATAAAATAAAGATATTGTGTCCACCTAAAACTTAAGAATAAATATTAATAAAAGAGAGAGAGACGGGGTCTCGCTAAGTTATTTAGGGCCTTGTTAAGTTGGTGAGGCTGCCCTTAAACTTGTGATTCTCATGCCTCAGCCTCCCAAGCTGCTGGAATTATGCCTGGCTATTAATTATAGTTGTTTCTATTATTACTTATAACTAATACAGTTCTAGAATGTTAACAAAACTCAATTTGTGTCACTTGGGGCACAGCATAAGATGAACAGGCAGCTGTTAGTATTGCTAAGCCCAGGCCTTTAGCTATGCTGTCCAATATAGTAACCACTAACCACATGTAAAACTTTTGTGCTTGTCATATAGCTAGTATGAGGGGATGATTTGGGAGTCAGGGGTGAGTGGGACTAGGGAATGAATGCAGGGAGACTCTCACATGCTTACGGCTGAGCTGTATCCTGAGACCCACGCAGATTTTTAAAAATAAAAATACCTTTAATTTTAATGGTCACATTGTATAGTGCAGCTGTATAGCATAGCATTCTGTTTTTTCATTTTCTTAAAACTTAGGAAAATTTCTGGTGCACATACCAAATGCTTGTATACAACAAAATTACTGAGTAATATATTTTTCCAGCTGTATTGAATATACTTTGCATGCTATATAACTCACCTGATATGTTTGTTTGTTTCAACATATTTTTAGTTGTTGATAGACCTTTATTTTATTTATTTATATGCGGTGCTGAGATTTGAACCTGGTGGCTTGCACATGCCAGGCAAGTGCAGTACTGCTCAGCCCCAGCCCCAGCCCCTCACCTGATAAGTTTTAGGGGAAAAAAATGCAGTTGTGCCATCACCCCTGCATTCTAGGATGCTTCATCTCAAGAGCCTCTTCTGCCTATTTTCTTTTTTTAAAAGCTTTTTGTTTTTTTTAGATACACATGATAGTAGTATATTTTGATATAGTATACATACATGGAGTACAGCCCATTCCAATTAGGATCCCATTCTTGTAGTCATCCATGATGATGTGAAGTTTCACTGGTGGTTTATTCACATGGGGAAGTTATGTCTGATCCATTCTATTGCCTTTCATATTCTTATCCCCCATCCTCCTTTTGTGTTAGCATCTGCATATCAAAGAGAACATCCATCCTTTGGTTTTTTTTGGGATTGGTTTATTTCACTTAGCATATAGTTTCCATTTCCATCCATTTACTGACAAAAGTTATAAAGCCATTCTTTTTTATGGATGAGCAATATTCCATCGTGTGTATATATACCACATTTTCTTTATCCATTCATCTGTTGAAGGGTGCCTAGATTGGTTCCATATTTAGCTGTTGTGAATTGAGCTGCTATAAACATTGATGTGGCTGTGTAATTGCAGTATGCTGATTTTATATATTGAGGAGTGGGACAACTGGGTCAAATGGTGGTTCCATTTCAGTTTTTCTGAGGAATCTCCATACTGCTTTCCAGAGTACAGTAGTTTATGAGTGTACCATTTTCCCCACATCCTCACCAACATTTATTGTTATTGTATTCTTGATAATTGCCATTCTGATTGGAGTGAGATGGGATCTATCTTCTGCATATTTTCAAGTTGTTCCCAGCTGTAGGCAACCAGTGATCGGCTTTCTGTTTGTATAATTTTGTGATTTCATGTAAATGCAGTAGTATTTTAATCGTTGTGTTTGGCTTTTTACACTTGGCATAATGCTTTTGAAGTTACTCATGTTGCATGTATCAGTTGGTACCTTTTTTTAAAATTTATTTTTAGTTGTTGATAGACCTTTATTTATTTATTTATATGTGATGCTAGAATCAAACCCAGTGCCTTACACATGCCAGGCAAGCGTGCTACCGCTGAGCCCTAGTCCCAGCCCCCCAGTTGGTACCTTTTTGAGTAATTTACATCTTACACTATTAAGTTATTGATTTATCTTGTACACAAACAAGTTTCATAAAACATTACTTGTCCATGTTGTCTGTGATGAAGCAAAATGTTAAAAAATACCATCAACTATCAAGTAAAATACAAAATCCCAAATAATAAGAAATGAAAATTAAGGTAGTTTTTGGTGTACTGGCACTCTTTTCTAGTCAGATTATTTCCTGTCTGGAATAGAAAAGGATGCTCTGGTCATTTCTAGCACACTAAGGAATTATTTTTTATTTCTTTTTACTCTAAGAATTTTCAATAGCAGGGGCAAGGTTAGTAATGAACTTCCCTGTATTCTGTCACATAGCCTTCATAGATTCATTTTATATTAGTGATCACTTATTTCCACTAGTTTGTTTTGAAGCAAATCTGGACATTTCATTTCATTTGTAAATATATGTGTCCATAAGATAATAGACATGTTTTAAAAATAGCAAACAGTATAAATAGTTCTAAAGATTTATATATATGTATATATATTTTTTAGTTATAGGTAGGCACAATACCTTTATTTTATTTTTATTTTTATGTGGTGCTGAGGATGGAACCCAGTTTCTCATGTGTGCCACTGATCCACAATCCCAGCCCCTAAAGATTTTTTTTAATGGTAATAGTAGTTATATACTGATTCTACTTAGAAAGGAAAATATTACTGTATTAATCCAAAGTAAACTTAAAATGGATTTTGTATACAGGTATTTGAAGTTTTCTTATCTAAAATGAATGTTTATAAATTTGAGGCAAATGTAAAACAAATGTATTTTTTATTGTTCACACAGCTTTTCTGTTTTTATTAGTAATATTATCTTCCATGTTACTTCATGGTTGGGAACGTAATAGCCAAGTTTTGTTTTCCTTAAGAAAGTCTTTTCAAAACTTTTGCTTAGTCATGAATCACCATGATTTTATGACATTTCCTTTGTTATTTTAACTTCAATTTAAGGGTGGTGATATATCTTCTAATATGCCAATTTTGTTACCCAGAAGTTATCTTCATATACATTTCTTTTCAGCTAGAACAAAAAATGTGAATCATATGAGTTATATCCCTTATTTGATACACATCCTTTTGACAGTTGGTGACCTTTGGATATGGTTCCTGCAGTTTCTGAATATCTTAAAAGTTGGGAATATTCTATGAGCCTCCATTAAAAAAAAAAAACTTCAGTAAATATTTTAGTGAAGTCATGAATTTTTGGATTCTAAAGCTTCATGTTTTGCAAAATAGAACTAGCATAGTATATAGTTTTTTCATACCAGCAGTATACTTTGTAATGTTTACAGCTCCATAACTTGTGGTTCCTTTAATATTTTCTGAGTTTGATTTATTTTGACCAACTTTTCAAATTCTGTAAGTATATCTAGTTAAGCTGTGTCAGGTTTAATTTGAACAACAAATTTTTTAATATTATCTTGCCTTACTCATCTGAAAACTTAAGTTTTACACTTTGCAGTATTGTTTCTTTTTTTCTTCTTCCTTTTATGGTACTAAGGGTTTAACTCAGGAGTGCTATACAACTGAACTATATCGATCCTCCCACCCCCCTCCTCATTTTGAAATAGAGGCTCACTAAGTTGCTGAGACTGGCCTTGAACTCACAGTCCTCCTGCCTCAGCCTCTGGAGTAGCTGGAGAATTGCAGGCATAGGCCTTAGTGCTGGGCTTTTATATACTGATTTAAGTGAAACTGATAAGATCTCTTAAAAGCAAAGTGGACACATCTGTCAACATAAGCCTATTTTACATGATCAATTAACTCCACTTCCAATCGCTTGTCTTATTGAAGGTACAAAGATCTTTTTGTTTTGGTACTGGGGATTAAATCCAGGGGTACTTTTTCACTGAGCCACATCCCCATCCTCTTTTTATTTTGTTTCTTATTTTGAGACAGAGTTTTGCCAAGTTGCTGAGGCTGGATTTGAACCAGCAATCCAGCCTCAGCTTTCCGAGTTGCTGGGATTACAGGCATGTACCACTGCATTTAGTTCAAAGATAATTTTTTTCTGAAGCATTAAAAAGGAAAAATTAGACATCCTTAAAGCAAAAATCGTGGTATATTCAAACAGTGCAAAGATAAGTGCACAGTGTAATTCCTAAAAGTATGCATGAACTAGTAATTTGATCAAAAGTTTGTACTGGGTTAGAAACCTAATTCATTATTTCAGTTAGAAAAATAGCCTTCACCACCCTCATTTTATATGTATAGTACTTGAAGAATGTAGCAAATGCCTGCATTGGTCCATTTGAAGAAAACTATTTAAATATTTTATTGTAGGTTCTAAATGAGAAGAAACTTCAAGAGGTTGATAGTTTGTGGAAAGAATTTGAAACTCCAGAGAAAGCAAATAAAATGTAAGTAATCTTGAAACCTAGAATTTAACACTTAACATTTAAGATTGTGGCCCCCACCCCATTTGTATAGTGTTACATTCAGTTTTTTGTTTTGAAATCAGCTTTATGAATAATGGTAATATGAGCTTAATTATTATGGATGTTTTATTTGGAACATAGGCCATCTCAGCTTATTTGTATTATTTGCAGACTAGAGTGGACAGCACCCCAAAATGAATATAGGTATTTGAAAACAGTTGATTGAATTAAGTATAAATTTCTGTTAAAAGTAATTGTACAAAGCAAGGAATACTGATTTCCTTGCATTGATATTCAGATTTTTTTACTTAGCATATTCATTCTTTTTATTAAATATTTATTTCTTTAAAAAGTTTTTTTTAACATGTCTTTATTTTTTTATGTGGTGCTGAGGATCGAACCCGGGTCTCGCCCGTGCTAGGCGAGCACTCTACCGCTGAGTCACAATCCCAGCCCAGCATATTCATTCTTAATGACTTCTACTTCCTAGTTCCCTCTGGTAAAATAAAATAACTAGCTAATAAATTCTAGATAAATTCCTGTCTTGGACTCCTCAAGATTTCTTGGCAAGAAAGTAGAGTACAACTTTGATAGCTCAACTGAAGAAATGAGTGGTGGGAGGGACAACTGGCATTTCCTCAAGGTAGAGTCAATATAGTTATTCCACCATCTGTGAATCAACTTGTGAAATATTTGATAAATGTGGTCCTAGGAAGAACCACTGATCCTCTTGATACTTGTGGTTTTGGGAGGGATCTGTATATGATTATGTCCATGGATGCCAACGGGTATTTGATAATACTTCTGTTATTGCTAACACAAGGCAAAAGAGTAAAAGGAAACTTCTTTTTGGAGGAGGGTACATCTGAAGATTAAACACAGGAGAAACTTGCTACTGCTGTGAAAGAGTGTTAAACCCAAAGAAATGGCATACTAAACAATTAAAGAAGCAAAATATAGATTGTAGTATTTGTAGTAGAACCCCCCAAAAAATTAAAACAGCTTGAATGTCCATCAGTAATGATATTGTTGCATAAACTGTGGTATATAAATCTCTTCACAGTTCAGAGTGATGTTCATGAAACTCAGAAAACCAAGCTTCAGGGTAATTTGTTTAATGTGATCCCATTTTTGTAGTGTATGTGTTTATATGCATTTATTCAAGTATTGAGAGACTCAAACAAATGCCACTTCAAAAAAGATAGACGTGAGGATAAGGTGGGGCAGAAAAAGATGAATTTATTACTTTTCCTTCAGATTTTTATATTTTTAAGTGATTTTTAAATTGTTTTATATATACGTTATATATATGTATGTGTATACATGTATATTTGTTTTGTTTGGTGCTAGGGATTGAACTCAGGGGTACTCAAGCACCAAGCCACATTCTCAGTTCTAATTTGTATTTTATTTAGAGATAGGGTTTTACTGAGTTGCTTAACACCTTGCTTTTGTTGAGACTGGCTTTGAACTCAAAATCCTCCTGCCTCAACCTCCAAAGCTGCTGCGATTACAGGTGTGAGCCACCACGCCAGCTTTTTATTTATTTATTTTTTTAAAAGGAATCGCCATGTTCCCTTGTCAGGTAAGAAAATCTTATTTAACACTGAATGTACAATTAATAATTATTAATAGTTACAATTTTTTGAACAAAACAGTTGTTTCAGGCAAATAGAAGACTGATTTTCCTTTTTCAAGGGTCGTGCTTTGCTGGGTTAAGGTAATTCATGGTTGTCAATGATGTATTCCAATGGAAACTGAATCTTAGTGATCTAGCTCAAATATTCGTCACTACCACTGAGACAACTATGAATTAACCATGTACATTTCTTTCTACATAAAATGTAACCCTGCATATAAATGCATATGGGATAAAAGGGGCAAAACAAAAAGTTAAGGAAACAGATGTGACAAACTTGGGGGGGGTACTGGGGATTGAACTCGGGGGCACTCAGGGCCCCACTGAGCTCTATTTTCCCCAGCTCTATTTTGCATTTTATTTAGAGATGGGTGAATTCACAATCTTCCTGTCTTAGCCTCCCAAGCCACTGGGGTGGTGCGGGGCAACAGTAGACTTTTTAAAAGGTATTTGTACTGGTTAGACAAGTAAATATCTTAAGATACCTTCCTTAAGAGGGATTCAAATATTTTTTCCTTGGGTCAGTTCTGTGTTGTGTAGTAAAAGTCATCTGTGTCCATAAGCAGCAGGGATTATGTTGAAGCTTCAACATGTTCTTGGCCTGAGTTTTCTTCAAAGTGTATAACTTTGTACGATTCTGGACATTGCTAGCCCAACATTTAGAAGAACTGGTAACTTTAAGAAGAATATTCTAATTTTTTACCTTGATTCTCATCAACAGTCGATTTCTTTTATTGCTACACGCTTTGGAAACACCAACACTGTTTTCATGGCTTTTGTAGAATAATATGCTTCCATAATATATTTCTTTTCTTTTAAATTCTAGAGTAAAGCTAAAGCATTTTGAGAAATTTCAGGATACAGCAGAAGCATTAGCAGGTAAAGTAAGAGACTAGAAGCTTTTTTTTTTTTTTAATTTATTTTGGTGTTGGTAGTTTATTTTCCTTATTAAAAGGTTGTTTGCTTCAGTTGCCTGAGTTAACCGTATTCAATGTTGTCAATGATGCATTCTTAATGGAACTGAATTTAAGTGATCTAACTCAAATTCGTCACTACCACTGAGACAACATTGAGTTAGCTTTTTTCACCATAGGGCTGGTTTTCCCCCATGTGATGAGAGGTGAGAAGTGGTTAAATTGATCTCCCTGTGGAAACCAGCAGCATAATGCTGAAGCACAATTCAGTAAAAGCTGTTCTGCAAGGGACCAAGGTAATGTGGTCAAGTACACAGCTCTCTGATAGTTTGATCCAAGGGTAAAGTTGAGACTAGCTGGGATTCACAATTAGGAAAAAAAAGATAAGGCTCTCCAGGGGTATACATTCAGGTAAGCATATCAATATAATTAAAAATCATAGGAAAAATAATAGTTTTGTTTTTAATAAACTATGGAGGGTCACAATAGTTTTGTTTATATTAAGTTAGCAAAAAAGGAGGACAGATAAAGTTGCTGAAATTATATATTGCAAATCAGCCAACTACTTGTGTGATAAAATTAGGAAATGAACATCTGTAAGGAAGAATTTTAAAATTAAGAATTTGACAGATAAAAATGATTTATTCATCAACCATAGGAAAAGAAATGATTCTGAGTGAAAATTGAAAATAAATATGCTTGAATATTATTGGCCACCTATCCTTGCAGAGGGTAGGCTAAATGAGGATCCAATAATGAGGCCAGTTTGTTTGTTTGTTTGTTTATTTATTTATTTGGTACTATTTTTTATTTTGAGACAAGGTCTTGCTGAGTTGCTGTAACTGGCCTTGTACTTGGGATCCTCCTGTTTCTGTCTCCTGAGTTGCTGGGATTACATTTCTGCACCACTGCCTGCTCTGGTTGTTTCTTTCTTTAAATAAGTAGTTCTAAGGCTCCTTCAGCCATATAGCACAACAATGATATTGTTGCCCTGGTGAATTCTTTAAAAGATCTGCTTAAGTATGGGTAGAATTTTGATAAAATCCCAAGCAATATTGTGTTAGCTATACTCCCAACAGTAGGGGGCATTGTTTGCATAGATCATGATATTACCTGTTCCTCCTCAAATTGTGAAATGCTGCATCCTTGATCCCTAGTATCTTCTTGTGAATTCTTTTTTTTTGTATCATTGCTAATGTTTTGGAGATATTTTTGACCAGCTGTTATTAAACATATTAAATGGATAAGTCAATCTTTGCCTAAATGCAAAGCAAGATTTTATTATTAGTAGCTAATAGGTTTATCTCATAGTGATTCTCAAATTTGTCACACTGTTATTTAAAGTCATATCTCTGGCTAGGAAAGTATATTAATAGTAGAATGCATACTTTGCATGTGTTGGGTTCTGGGTTCAATTCTTAAAAACCACCCAAAATAAAAAAAGTCAAGTTGCCCTGGTCTAATCTCTACAATGCAGAGATTGCTGTAAATTGACAAATTTTTAGATTCTAGGACAGCATCTGGCTATACAGGATTTATAATCATGGGGTATATGAATTCGAGTAAGTTCTCTAAGGAATCCAGTCATAAAAACCTGTGGTACCTTTTCCTGTTTTTACCAGTAAGGGAAACATCCCCTTAGAGTTTTGTTTTGCAGTACTGGGGATTGCCTCATCCCAGTTTTGACATGATAGCACCAAACTTGTATCTGTAAATGTCACTATGTACATTTTAAATCCCATAGCTTTAAAAACTAGAGTTTAATGGAGTGTGAAACCAAGATTCTGTGTGGGTCCCAGAAGTTCACATACGCCATTAGTATGGAGAGGCTTGTTTTTAGTCTTACTTATGTTTTATATTAAATATAATAATAAATTTTGATGTGGGGAAGATACGTATAATTATTAGAGTAGGAATTTTTAACTTAAGAAATGAGGATGAACACTAGGTTATAAATAAAAGATGATATAGAAGATTAGGAATAGGAAGCAAAAGTTAAATTTAAACTTTTCAATTAAGAAGTTTTTCTATTTATGTACATGTAGTAGGTAGGTAGGTAGGTACGTGATGCTCAAACTCAGAACCTTAAGCATGCTAAGCAAGTGCTCTGCCACTAGTTACATCCCCAATCTGAGAGTTTAAAACCTTACATAAGGAAAAAATATAAAGAAGACCTTTCTCTCTCTCTCTCTCTCTCTCTCTCTCTCTCTCTCTCTCTCTCTCTCTTTTTTTTTTGTACTGGGGATTGAACCTAGCAGCCCTCTACCACTGAGCTACATCCTTAACCCTTTCGATTCTTTTTATTTTGAGACAGAGTCTCACTAAATTGTTTAGGGCCTGAGCCTCCTGAGTCAACTGGGGTTACTGGCATGCAAAGAAGACTGTTGTTAGAAGGATAGATTTTAAGGAATCAATGTAAAAATTATAAGAGTTTAGAAACCTGCAAAAGCTATGTGAGAGCCAGATGCTTTTTGTCCTCACCTTGAATCTTCCCAGATAACTGATGCAATGGACTTGTAATTCAAATGGATGACATGGAATCAGGAGGGAAGAACAGGTACCTGGCTAATGAAGCAAACTGCTTGACATTAGAAACTGGCAGGTCTTTCTTTCTGCTAGACATACTTTTAACCTCAGACAAAGTGTTAAGTACATATGGGTCTGGAAGATGGAAGTATATATCTAAGGAAGGGCTTGTTAACAGGAGATTTACAGGCACAGGCCTGATGATACATCTGGTTTGGGGATTAGCAAAAATAAGGCTTCCCTCCACTCAAACATGCTTACATGGTTGCACAGCCTTCCTTTTTTCTAATAACTCATTTTTATATGATTTTAGGGTATTTTGCAGTCCAGGACATCAAGCCAGTCTATCTGAAATGACAGGAGAATAAATCTAAGACTTTACTATCCTCTCCTAGAGTTTGTGAGAACATTTGTGTGACATAAAGATAGAAACCCTTCCTATAAGATATGTAACCATTCACATTGATTGTTTCAGAAGTGACATTAAATTTGGGCCTTTCAAAAGGAAGTATTTGTTTTGCTTTAGATTTTAAAATACGTTCTTGCAGTTAAAAATCTGAGGTAATTCTGTGTTTTTCTTTTTTCTAAAAAGCATTCACAGCTCTGATGGAGGGCAAAATCAATAAGCAGTTGAAGAAAGTTCTAAAGAAAATAGTGAAAGAAGCACATGAACCTCTGGCTGTAGCTGATGCTAAACTAGGAGGAGTCATAAAGGTAAAGTAGGGGTGAGGGTTTGGCCTAATGATAAGAGTATGTGCTAAATATGCACAAAGCCCTGTGTTAGGCCCGCAAACACTAAAATGAACATACGAATGAATGAATTTAAAGTCATGACTTTCTTTTATGCCTGCTAGTTTGATCTCACAGGATGCTAATTACAAAGCCTAGCCTTTGTAATAAGTTGTTTGTCTTAAGTTCTCATATTATATCTTTTTTCCTAAGCTACATAATAATTTCGATTAGTATTAGCAGAACTAAACATATATATAAGTAGTTCCTGTTCATTGTAGAAAATACAGATCAACAAAAAAAGATTAAAATTAGCCCTATCCCTGATACTCATAATCTCTTTTTTTATATTATATATGACAGTGGAATGCATTACAATTCTTATTACACATACAGAGTACAGTTTTTCAACAAAAATGGGGTCATTATTTTATTTTTTAGGTGTTTATTAGAAATCTTTAGTAGGGGGATATACTTGCTAGAAATAGTTAGAGTGGAAGGAAAGACTGGAAAACTAACATACCAAACTCAAAATGTAGAACAGTGAGATCCATTCATGATAGATTGATGTTTAGTAGTTAAAGTAAATATTTCTGCCACAGGCTAATTGTTGTGATCATAAAACATACCTCTGAATCATGAAGTCAGGAAAGAACTATGTGAAATGGCAGCAAAGTGCTAAGATTTAAGAGCTTTAGTAATAAGTCAATGGTTAATTTTAAGAAGTTCATTTAAATAGATTACTTCTAATACTATTAGGCAATGAGCTTTTCTTTGATGATATCTATCTCTCCATCTTTTGCATTACACACAGGCGTAACTTTATATATATATATATATATATATATATTCGTTGTTAAAGGCTATAACTTTTAGCACATTAGGAAGAAACAGACATTTTCAGTATCTTTATGAACTGAAGTATTCAAATTCCAAGTTGAGTTCTGAATGTAGACATTGTACTCAAGAGAATGAAAGCCTAAGAGAATATAGTAAGCAGTACTTGAATCAAGTGTTCATACTTGTGGTATAAGAATACCTACAAAGGCATGCAGAAGGGCATATTGATGATAAGTATCTTATTACTTAATAAGTTTTTATACAGATTATCATGTATAATAAACTAAATTGTGGCAGGGGGTGGGGAGCAGGGATTGAATCCAGAGGCACTTAATCACTGAGTCACATCCCTAGTCCTATTTATTTTTTATTTTGAGATAGGGTCTTGCTAAGTTGCTGAGGCTGGTCTGGAACTTGCAATCCTCCTGCCTCAGCCTCCCAAAGTGCTGGGATTACAGGTGTACGCCACTGTACCCAGCTATATATTTTCTTCTTAAATGAGTTTTGCATACCTGTTAATATTTGCATGAGATAGACTAGAACTATGTAGACCAGTGTGAAATAGTTAGCCAATACACTGCAGTTTGGAAAAATGAAGGTGTGCAGGGGAAAGAAAAAAATTATCCCATTGTGGGTAATTTGAATTTGGCAATCCTACTGCGTAAGCCTCCCAAACTGTTGGGATTACAGGTGTGTCGGCTTCATTACAATCTTATAATTGTATTACCTTTATACTTCAATTTTGTTTTTAATTAATTACATTTGAAAGTCAAATAACAAAGTAATGAAAGATCCTCAAAGCCTTTTTTAAAAAAGGGAACAAAATTACTAAGTCAAATTATATTCATCATTTATAGTTTTTAATTCGATTAGTCAAGCTATCTTCCAGGAAGTTTGTACAGATTTGACTTCTATCCACAATATACTCAAGTATTTATAAACATATAAGAAACTTCATCAAACTGAAAATGCATGTGCTCACATCAGTACATTAACATATAAGAACTAATTTCAGGAAATCTCTTATTTAATAGAAATGTCCTTATTCTTGTAGGAAAAACTGAATCTCAGTTGTATCCATAGTCCTGTCGTTAATGAACTTATGAGAGGAATCCGATCACAAATGGATGGATTAATCCCTGGGGTAGAACCACGTGAAATGTCAGCCATGTGTCTTGGATTGGCCCACAGGTGAGAAATACTGTAAATATAAAGTCAGCTTATGTCGAACTGTTCCCAAAATGTTAGATATTAACTTAATCCTCATATTAACCTCCTGAAGAAACTAATACTATGAAATAGTAAAGCTGATAAATGATAAAGCCAGGATTTGAACCCATACAACCTGGCCCTATTGCTGGTTCTTAAAACTTCATCATAGGAATTATTTACCATTCTAGTGTTGGATCCCTCATTTTATTTTATCTCTACCAACTCTAATACTATGCCTCCACCCACTGCCACTTCCCAGAATTTTCAGATCTGCTATATTTCCTTCCATTTTGTATGTATGGGTCAGTGTTGATTTTTTTACCCTGTTTTTTAATACTTTTTTAGAATAAGGCATCTTACCTCTCCCATGTTTAATGAGAGGTTCATTATTGTGCACATTGCTGCTGTGCTGTGTTCACAAAAAGCTTGATATTCTGGTGTACTAAAAATAGTTTGTGAAGAAAGTAAGAGATTATAGGTAGAATACTTAAAACCTATGCAACTGTATAATTAGCACTATAAAAAATGATTCTATGAGCTAAGTTTGTAGCTCAGTGGTAGAGGGCTTGCCTAGTGTGTGAGGCACTGGGTTTGATTCTTAGCACTGCACATAAATGAATAAATAAAGGTTCATGAACAACAACAATATATTTTGAAAAATGATTCTTTCTATATGTGGTATAGCACAATTAAAAAGTCATGTTAAGTTTATATTAAATACTACATGCTGGGCATGGTGATGCACACTTATAATTCCAGCTGCTTGGGAGGATCGAAAGTTAAAAGACAGCAAAAGTGAGGTGCTAAGCAACTTAGTGAGGTGCTAAGCAACTTAGTGAGATCCTGTCTCTAACTAAAATACAAAATAGGGCTGGGGATGTAACTCAGTGGTAGATCACAGCTCTGTTCAATCCCCAGTAGTGCAAAGAAAGAATTACTACAATAAACAGTAGTCTCTAATACAAATTTTAAGAGGTGAGCATAGGACTAGTCTAGCATTTTTGAGGTCCCGAGTTCAAACTACAGAGTAGGGACAGGGGTGAATATAGACTAATGAAAAGGTTGAAGCTGCTGTATTATAGAAATAAGAGTAGAGGCCAGGAAGAATTTTTAAATGAGCTTTTCTAAGAGTAAGTATTGAAACTGAATCATTACCCACATATAGGATTAAACAACAATGTGTATACCAGTGGTTGTCTTAAGGACAATTAGATGTTCCCTTAAGTTATTTGACTATCTAGAGATATTTTCAGTTATCACAACTGATGCTGTAATAGAGTATGCCACCAACATCTAATTGGTAAATATCAGGGATGCTGAAAATGTCCTACAAAGTATAGCTTGGCACCCTCCTATAAGTAATAATTATTGTCAGTTTTGCCAAGATTTTTTTTTTCTTTTTATACTGGGAATTGAACTTGGTGTTAATCACTGAGGGACATCACCAGCCCTTTTTAATATTTTATTTAGACAGGGTCTCATTGAGTTGCAAGTGTCTCACTAAGTTGCTGAAGCTGGCTTTCAACTCCCAATCCTCCTATTTGAGCCTCCTGGAATTACAGGCATGCGTCACCATCCCCAGCCAGTATTGCCAAGATTTAGAAATTGTTCTATAGCTTTGTTTTTAGATGTTAAGAGACTAGAATATTTATTTTTATAAATTTTTTTAGTTGTCAATGGACCTTTTTATTTATTTATATGCAGTGCTGAGAATTGAACCCAGTGCCTCACACAAGCTAGTCATGCACACCACTACTTAGTTACAACCCCAGCCCTGGAATATTTCTTGAAAGAGGTGATATAAAGCCTTGATGTGCTACCAAAAAAATCATATGAGCCAATATGACTTTTACCTCTACACAGCATTATTTTGTTTGTTATTCACATATAAACTAATTCATGTTGCAGAAGTGCAGGTTGTAGCAAATGTGTGCTTTGTGATATTTCATAAGTGCATTTATATTCAACTTGGTTTCCTACTTAGAAAAACTGAAAACAGTATAACTGAAGACAGAGATTTCAATTTGAATTTAAGATGTTAATTTTCTCATTCCACCATCTTTTACCCTAAGTACATGTATGAAGACATGAATGGTGTGAATATACTTTGTATACAACCAGAAATATGAAAAATTGTGCTCTATGTGTAATATGAATTGTAATACATTCTGTTGTCATATATAACAAATTAGAATTTAAACATTTTTTTAAAGAAAGGTGTTAATTTTTCTCACCACTACTAGGAATTGAACACAAGGATACTCTACCACCCAGCTGTATCCCCAACCCTTTTTATTTTTATTCTGAGACAGGGTCTTGCTAAGTTTCCCAGGCTGACCTTGATCCTCCTACCTCAGCTTCCTAAGTCGCTGGATTACAGGCATGCTCCAGCACACCTAAAATATTAATTTTAAATGCTTTACTAATTTGCCATTTTCTCTCTGTCCTCCTCAGCTTGTCTCGATACAGATTAAAGTTTAGTGCTGATAAAGTGGATACAATGATTGTTCAGGCGATTTGTAAGTATAGTACATGGCAAGGTCTGATCCTGTTTCTTTGTTCTTTATGTTTTTGTTACTATGGAAGCTATTTGTTGAGAAAGGAGTTAAGCTATTACTGAGTCGATAGATTGCAAAAATAGTGAAGAAGGAAATTACCCATAATTTGATTAGTATAGGATAACATGAATCACAGTATTAAAATGTAAATTGATGTTTTCTTCTATTAATGTGAAAAATGGGGTAGGATCTATGTAATTGCCTTTTCCATTTAGCTTTTAAATAATGTGTTATTCTCCACGGAGAATTGTTTTTATTAACGTTGTCATAGCTCTTTGAATCTTTAAAATTCCTATAGTAATTCTATTCCTTTATATATACCCAAGAGAATTGAAATTAGTGACTCAGGTTAGTCTCCTATATTGTTATACCCATGTTTACAGCAATATTATTTACAGTAGCCAAAGATGGAGAAAAACAAAATCTATTAACAGATGAATGGATAAATAAAAGGTCTGTATACCTAAAATGGAAGGTCACATCAGATACATTTTACAATGTGGATAAACCTTGAAATAAATGTAACAGGGAAATAATACCGGATTCTACTTATGAAGTTCTAGAATAGACAAATTCATGGAGACAAAGTAGTATAGATGTTATAGGGGCTTGGGGAGATCATAATAGGCAGTTATGTTTTAATGGCTATGGAATTTTCAGTTCCATATAATGAAAATGTTCTGGGAATGGAATATAAATATGAGAGTGTACTTAATGCTACTGGATTGTAATTTTGAAAATGGTTAAATGTGAATTTTATGATACATATATTGTACTGTAATAAACTTTTTTTTTTTGTCCTCATTTTTATCTACTACAGCCTTGTTAGATGACTTGGATAAAGAACTAAACAACTACATTATGCGATGTAGAGAGTGGTATGGCTGGCATTTTCCTGAATTAGGAAAAATTATTTCAGATAATTTGACATACTGCAAGTGTTTACAGAAAGTTGGTGAGACATTTGTATATCCTTAAAGACATTGAAAATAACTAAATTTGGTTGCATGTCAAAACAAATTTTAGTAACTTAATCTGTTAGATTTCAAAGTTAAAATGAATTTTTATTTTGATGACCTACACAGCAGAGAAAATGGTTCTCTGAGTTTTTCTTTAAGTAGCTTCTTATGGTAAGCTAATTAATAATAGAGGCAATTGTAGACTGAGGGCATCCTATAGTATATTAACTGTATCTAGTATTTACAGTAATATAGCTGTCTATATTGTTGATGTTATATTCTGTACTGTGGAAATTGCTTGTCTCATTAACATTTTCAGAATTAATGGCCCCATCTTCCATATAAAATTGACATTAGTCCTGTACTTAATTTTTGCTACCTTTCTGAAATTAAGTTTTTATGGAATGTTTTGTCTTATTTTTATCACAATTATATTTTGAAGGGAAATGGTGGGGAGAAATTTATCTCTAAAATCAAGCATTTACATCAGGATAGTTAGTAGGTATGACTTAGTTGTTTTTTGTTTCACTCAGGCATCCTTTTTGGGGGTGGTGATGGTGCTAGGGATTGAACCCAGGACCTTGTGCCAGCAAGGCAAGCACTTTACCAACTGAGCTATATCTCCAGCTCTCATTTAGGCATCCTTTACATTGGCTTATATCTACTTTTCTTTTGACTGAATGGTGGATTTTATGTAATTTGTTAGAGTGATTCTCCCTCATCCTCTGCAAACATTCTGTAGGTGATAGGAGGAACTATGCTTCTGCCACACTATCTGAATTCCTGCCAGAAGAAGTTGAAGCTGAAGTGAAAGCAGCAGCAGAAATATCTATGGGAACAGAGGTTTCTGAAGAAGATATTTGCAACATCCTGCATCTTTGTACCCAGGTAAATTGTATCCATAGTGAATCCAGCTGTTTCCAGCTTTATAATAATTTTCTGATGGCAATGATGATTTTTAGAGTTATTGTTCACCTGATAAAAACATGAGGGTGTTCAGTCACTACCTCATCTGATGCCATCTTATTTGGTATACTTAGAAGGGGGAAGTACATAGTGGAATGAAGTAATTTGTACTACTAGCATATTTATTAAGAAGCACAAGAAATATGACTTGCGTTATTGGAGTTTGTGTTTATAGCCCATGACAGTTTTTTGCCCCAAATTTGATAATTATATACAAAAAATTTACAGATGACACGAATGTGTAGCTAATGGAATTTTTTGAAAACTATTAGAATAGTATTGACAAACTTTTTTTTTTCAGAGGCTATACTGTAAGTGGTTTACATACATTTGTTTAATTAAAGACTTACAGAAGTGATTTTATAGAAAACCAGTCTTAAAAGTAAATTTACCTAGGGTCAAGCAGTTCTTTGATAATTCAGGAATCCAGACCTTTTTAATTCGAGATTAGGGTCTCAGTATGTAACCCACACTAGCTTCAAGCTCCTAACTTTATATAACCTACCTGCTGTGGTCTCCTGAGTAATTAGACTAGAGGCACATGCCAGTTTGCCTAAGCTGTTTTACTTGAGTGTTTTAGTCATGTAAAATTTGACACTGTTTTTACTGATAGGTCTTTATTACTTACTCATTTTATTCCTTTTGTTAGGTGATTGAAATCTCGGAATATAGGACTCAGCTCTATGAATATCTACAAAATCGAATGATGGCCATTGCACCCAATGTTACAGTTATGGTTGGAGAATTAGTTGGAGCAAGGCTTATTGCTCATGCAGGTGACTGTTTTAATGTAATTTGTAAACACGAGTATTTAAAGTCATTTTTTCTGGGTTTTGATCTTTACAGCTATTAAAAAGTAAGAGCCAAGTGTTCAATGATGATTTTTGTTTGCTGGATTTCCTTTTGGATAATGAAGGCATCTTTAGTCACTACCTCTTCTGAGACACTTGTGGTTCTTTTTTCAGATGTTTGCTCTGGTTAATCAGAAAAATCAGATAATTACAGAATAATATAATTAGTTATCATTTTTCATAATATTAAGAACTTATGAATCCAGGCACAGTGATACACTCTGTAATCCCAGGTACTCAATAGACTGAGGCTGCAGATTACAAGCTCAAGGCCAGCTTGGGCAATTTAGCAGGAACTTGTCTCAAAAATTAAGTTACAAAGGGCTGGGGATATAGCCTGGTAGTAGTGACTGTGGATTCAGTCCTCACTACTGCCCAAGAAAAAAAAAAAGAAAGTCATGAGTTAAGAGTATGAAAATCAAAAGGAGATTAGTAGTAGAAAGGGAATGTGGTAAGACGGAAGGAGGGTGGGTGGGGGTTCTGGGGAGTAATATTGGCCAAATTATATTGTAATGTTGTGTATATGTACAAACATAAAAATTTCATAATTTTATATAAATATAATGCACCAATAAAAAAGATGTGGAAAGAAAAAGTCATGAGTTCGGGAGATGTAGCTCAGTGGTAGAACATTAACCTTAACATTAACACAAGGCCTTGGGTTCAGTTCCCAGTACCACAAAACTAACAAAAACCCACATCAGACCAAGATGAATATAGTTCAGGCAATGTATATTCTTGATAGATTATGTGAATTTCATTGTTGAATATGCTATTTTAATGTATTTGACTTTCAAAGTGTTTTGAAGAATCAATTTATAATAAACTTGATGTGTATGTGGTAAAATTGTAAGGGTGATATGCTACAACAAAAATCACTGTATAATTGAATACCTTTAGTATAGTACCAATTTATTTTTTTAAAATATATTTTTAGTCATTGACAGACCTTTATTTTTTTATATGCGGTGGTGAGAATCGAACCCAGTGCCTCACACATGCTAGGCAAGTGCTTTATCACTGAGCCACAACCCCAGCCCCCAATTTATTTTTATCCTCTTAGAGACATTGTTATAATCCATCATACTTCTTATTTATTATCTACATCAAAGTGTTTAAACTGGAATAACTGTCTTAGCTACATCTTTAATTAGAGACATAATATTCCATTCAAGTACCCTTCACTACAGGATCACAATCATCTAGCCTGGTTTCCTTGGTTTCACCCAGTTTTGTAGATGCATCTAAACTTATGGTGGTAACACGAGTTTTTTGCACTTTAAACATGTCTTCAGTAATTGAGCTCCTAACATTAACATTGGGTGTGTAGTGTTTTGTTTTTGTGGTACTTGGTATGCTCTGCAAGCATTAATACTACTAAGCTGTGTACTTAGCCCTTGTTTTGTTTTTTGATAGAAAATATTCTTTGCAACATATCCAAGAAAGCAACTTAGTTTAGTTCCAGGCATATTGCTTCCTAATCCTTATCTGAAATAAAGTTAAATGAAGTGAGAATATTTTTTCAGTTAATACTAGTGAGATATTCGTATAGTTGATACTACCTAGTACATATCTAGAACAATGGAATATTTGATGTCCAAAATCTCAGGAAATGGGGGATAGATTGTGTGTAAATACTTGTTTTTATATATGAATCACTTGGGGAATGCTAATGAATACACAGTAGAAATACCATCTCAGGCAAATAAGTTTAAGTTAAGCTTAACCTTCACTTTGTCATAGACATCACAAATCTGCCTCAGAGTCAAATGAAACGTTAGAATTTTCAGGGAATTTATACAAGATTACATAATTCTGCATCATTTGAGGATTTTTAAATTTATTACTCTAGCTATAATAGGCTATGTCTTTTATTTAATACATGGAATGTACATATCTGGTAGTGCTTTATTAGTGACTATTTGTTTTTGGTAGGTTCTCTTTTGAATTTGGCTAAGCATGCAGCTTCTACAGTTCAGATTCTTGGAGCTGAAAAGGCACTCTTCAGAGCCCTTAAATCTAGACGGGATACCCCTAAATATGGTCTTATTTATCATGCTTCACTTGTGGGCCAGTCAAGTCCCAAACACAAAGGGAAGGTAAGTTACAACTTTTCTGAAGTTAGGCCTTTTCCACCTATCTTCTATCTATTTTTATTTCTAAAAACACAAATTTCTCCTGTTATTATAGTGCACATTCAGTCTTTCTATTGTCTTTATTATTTAATTTTGTTTAAATTAAAAGCATTTGTGTGTGCTGAAAGAAGATTAGAAGAAATTGTTATTGCTCCATCTGTAGCTATTTTCTTTCATTATTATTTTTTTTCTAGGATTCACCTGTGGGTGATTCACAAGGATTTTGTAAGAAAGCCAGTCTAATATTTATGAACTTTTTTTTTTTTTTAAGAGAGAGAGAATTTTAATATTCATTGTTTAGTTTTCGGCGGACACAGCATCTTAGTTTGTATGTGGTGCTGAGGATTGAACCCGGGCCACACGCATGCCAGACGAGCATGCTACCTCTTGAACCATATCCCCAGCCCCGCATTTATCAACTATTAAAACTAATAGCACATAGGCAGGCATGGTGGCACACATCTGTAATCCCAGCTACTCAGGAGGCTGAGTCAAGAGGATCCCATGTTCAAGGCCAGCAAATTAGAGAGACCCTGTCTCAAAATATGGGTTCCGGAGGTAGCTTAGTGGTATAGAGCACCCCTGGCTGGGTTCAGTCACCAGCACTGCCAAAATAATAATAATGGTAATAATAGTATGTACGTTTCTGTTTTACAGATATTGAAAACAGACTTAAAAAATTAAGTACTTTCAGTGTTTAAGAATTCCTATTTAACAGAAATAACTAAAAATTTTTTTTTCTTTTTTAGAGGGGTAATTTTTTTTAATACTTATTGTTTCAGTGGACACATCTTTGTTTTATTTTTTTATGTGGTGCTGATGATTGAACCCAGCTCCCCGCGCATGCCATGCGAGTGCGCCACCGCCCGAGCCACATCTCCAGCCCCAGAAACTAGTTAACTAAAGTTTTATAAACATAAGAGCACAGTAATGGAAATAAAGTGTTCAATATGTCAGTTTAAAGAAGTACCCACGATAGTTAAGACTATTATGAGAGAAATGAATATAGTTGTTTTAGGGGACCTCTTAAGGCATTGAAATAGTATCACTGTGTGAAACTAAAGATAGACATTGGAAGATTAGTTTGAGGTTACTTTATTTTATATTATGTCATTTTTGGTACTGGGGATTGAACTCAGGGGCATTCAAACACCGAACCACATCCCCAGCCCTATTTTTAATTTTATTTAGAGACAGAGTCTCACTGAATTGCTTAACACCTCACTTTTGCTGAAGCTGGCTTTTAACTTGTGATCCCCCTGCTTCAACCTCCCTAGCTGCTAGAATTACAGGCATGCACCATGCTTGGCTAGTTTGAGATAATTTTAAACATAAATTTGTTTAAACGTGTTTTTGTCCACCAAAGTATTGACAGTGATGTATAACCAGTAAGCCATTATACTGTAGCAAAGATGAAGAAATACAGTAGGTGATTTGAGTTGTATGACTTATAATACTTTTGATTTTGATCTTAAAATGAGGTCTAGCAGATGTAGTTCAGTGGTATAACTGCTAGCATAGCATACATAACGCCCTTGGTTTGAGTCCCCAGTACCCCCACCCCCTAAAAAAATCTAGAATGAATGGTAATATGCTCATTTGGTATAATTTTTCTCATGAACAAATTGCTGAGAATTTTACATCTGAGCTTGGGATATAGATTGATTGTTTCTAACTTTGTGTTTTATATTAGATTTCTCGAATGCTAGCAGCCAAAACCGTTTTGGCTATACGTTATGATGCATTTGGTGAAGACTCCAGTTCTGCAATGGGAGTTGAGAATAGAGCTAAATTAGAGGCCAGATTGAGAACCTTGGAGGATAGAGGGGTAAGTACCATATTCCACCAATTGCACCATGTTTCCTGTGGTTTGTTAATAAATAATGATAGTCTTATGAAACTGTTGTTTTGTGATCTACTTTAGTATGACATATATTTTTTGTACCTGCTGTTAAGTTTCTCTTATTTACCAAGAATTGATGTATTGAATCACATTTGTCATTAAGATATACTGTTCAGAGTAAAGAAAAATTATCAGATATTGCTGCCTGTTGGTCCACTGAACTTTCTAGACATAATGTATTAATCAGATATTATGCTTGGGAGCTGGGGATATAGCTCAGTTGGTAGAGTGCTTGCCTTGCATGCACAAGGCCCTGGGATCAAGCCTCAGCACCACAAAAAAAAAAAAAAAGATTTATGCTTGGAATTTCCTTAGTAATTTCCATTTTTCTTCTCAGATAAGAAAAATAAGTGGAACAGGAAAAGCGTTAGCAAAAACAGAAAAGTATGAACACAAAAGGTGAGTATATTTTAGGGGAATAGATGAACACATTGTTTATTTAAAAGTTAATTATCAACACCATGCACATACATGGCCCCCTTATATCCCCTAATTTATTTTATTTTATTTTTTTAATATAGGGTTTCACTAAGTTGCCCAGGGTCCAGGCTTTCCTCAACTTTGTAATCTATCTCAGCCATTCACATAAATGGGATTATAGGCATGCCTCACTACAACCAGCAACAGCAATTTTTCACTTATAAACTTAAGCACCTAATTAGCCCCCAATCTTTTTATGTAAAAAATTATATACATTTATCGTTTAAGTGTTGTTTTGCCAAGTATGTATATTATGAAATTGCTAAATTAAGCTAACATGCATTCGCTTACTTTTTTTTGTGGTAAGATACTTAAAATTTACTCTGCTATGTTTGACAGTCACTATGTTACACATCTTTTTTTTTTTTCCTTCTCATTTAGTTTTTTTATACTCATTTCTATTTTTTTTTATCCCCAGCGCTTTATATTTTTTATCTAATCACTTCTAATTTCTAGTTTCTAACTTCCAGATATTAGTACTAAATATTTTTCATATAAAATTCCTCTATGAATTATGCTATTTATACAAAAGAAAGTTTATCTAGGATTAATCTACAAAGGAAACTCTTAAAAAGTCAAAGATGGAAGATAAGTCTAAAAATGGTTCGTAGGCATGATGAAATACTCAGATCTCACTGTCAACAAGGTTTATGTATGGAGGGGTTCTTTGGTTATCATTTGGTTTAATTCTCCATATTCATCAGGTTGTGGTGATAGAAGTAGATTGATACAGCTATTTTGGAAAACAAAACATTATGACACTATGTATTAAGATCCTTCAAAGTGCTCCTAGTCAGTCATTAATCTCATTCTACTTTGAAGATTATTTTAGCTCTGTAAGAATTTTTTATTTTGATATTTTTAGTTGTAGAGGACACAATACTTTTATTAACTAGTTTATTTTTATATGGTGCTGAGGATCCAACCCAGGGCCTCACATGTACAAGGCACAACCCCAGTCTCATCTGTAAAAAAATTTTTAAAATATATTTTTAGATGCTGATGAACCTTTATTTTATTCATTTATTTATATGTGGTGCTAACAGTTGAACCCAGTGCCTCACACATGCTAGGTTATGCTATAATAATTGAACAGAGAAAGCAATATATAATTATGTATCTATTCATACATGTAGGTATTAAAATATACATGTTCAAAATTTTTTTCCTGTATACTTTGAAAAAGCCAAATGCATGCATTGTGGGCATTAACACTTTAATTGTAAATTTCTAAGTTGTTTACAATAGCTGCATGTTCTTTGTGGGAGTGGGATATTGGGGGTTGAACCTAGGGACCTTCAACCACAGGTCTACTCCCTCAGATCTTCTTTCTTTTTTTTTTAAAATAGGGTCTAGTTAAATTGCCTAGGAGATTTTAGACTTACAGTTCTCTTGCCTTAACCTCCCGTGAAGCTGGGATTACAAAAATGCAACCACCATGCCTAACTTTTAAGCAATCTTTCTGTATCTATCCCCTTTTATTCCTTTGCCCTGTGGGATATTGTGATGAAGATATCTGTATTAATTTTGGTTTTTATTTTATTTCTAGTGACATTCTCTTTTGTCTTGAATTATTTTAGTTACAGATATTTGTAGGGATTTTCTAAAATTCTTTTGTTCTTTCAGTGAAGTGAAGACTTATGATCCCTCTGGTGATTCCACACTTCCAACCTGTTCTAAAAAACGCAAAATAGAACAGGTAGACAAAGAGGGGGAAGTAACTGAAAAGAAAGCCAAGAAAGCCAAGATTAAAGTAAAAGGTTGGTTTAAAATTTTAAATGCCACTTATGCTATTATGATGATACACTCTTATACTTACTCTTACACTTAAAAATTACAGACTTTGTGAGTCTTGGAATAGTATCCACCTTTACCATTGAGTGAAAGCCAGTGGTGTTTCAATATGTCATTATGTTCCCTGCGAGTAAGTGGGATCATTAAAAGCATCAGATTTCATAGGAATGTGAGAACATAACTTCAAATACATATAATTATATGTTTAACTAGGTTTACCAAAATACTTAGTTTCTGCTATGTACATTATTTTAGCAATTAAGAATTTTTAAAAAAGAATAAAGTGATTTCTAAGTTGGATGTTAAGATATTTTTTAGTCATGAAAATGACTAAATGAAAGTACACTTTTTAACAGCAGTGGTTTTCTTTGTTACTTGGTTAATAAATTGGAATATTTGCATGCTAGGTAGCTATTATAGTGATATTTAATAAGTACTCACCAGACAACCAAACTGTCTTATGAAGTTGATTAAACCAGTGCCCCATTTGTTAGTTGCACCTGTTTATTGAGTTCTTGCTAGTCTAGAAAGAGTAAAACACAGTGTCTTTATTTATTTTTAATGTGGTACTAAGGATCAAACCCAGTGCCTCACAGTCAAGGCAAGCGCTGTACTACTGAGCTACAGCCCCAGCCCTTCAATTTGGTTTCTAAATGGCTTACTTGTTAAAAACATACTGTCATCAAGAATGGACACAGGCAATTATTTAAATTCCTTTTGTTTTCTTATTGAAAAATCAAGAAAATCTCTAAACTCATTGCTAGGATTTGAATCACTGAATTCTAAATTTTATCTCCCCACCTCACCAGTTTGGTTTGTTTTTTTTTTTAACAATAAGCTTTTCAAAATTAATGTGACTGGATCTTTGTGTATTCCTAATCTTTTGCCTGCAATTTTTCCCATGCTTTAAGTAGCAGTTTTTGTTATTTTGGCTGTAAACTTCAACTTTTTTCTTATAATCCAAATCTATTCTGGCATCAGATCTTCTCCGTTCTACTTTGAAAGTATATAATGGCCATAGAGGTAATACATACTTCACATTAGTTTTCTGGTGTTTTCTAAATTTCTACTCTTTGCTAACTATTCCAGCCACATTGACCTATTTGAAGTTTCTTAAATACCCCTCCCCAGATATTTGGAATCTTAACATTTTCTCTTCTTTCTCCTTGGAGTATTCCTTTCAGATATACCATCATTCATTTCCTTGTCTTGATGTTTGCCTGACCACTCTTGTCTTAATGTCAATATGTAATTGCCCTTCTACATTCCCCTTCCTGTTTTATTTTTATCCTTAACACTAATTCCTATTGTATATAGTATTATTATTTGCTTTGTATTTTCATTCTCCCCCTAAAATAAAATTCATAATAGAGGCTTTAAATTCCAGTAACAATCCAGTAAGGTAAACATTTTTATTTATTTGTTTATTTGTTTTGGTTAGGGATTGAACCCAGGGTCACTTAACCGCTGAGCTATATAGAATATTTTCCCTGAGTTTCTGTGGCTGGCTTTGAAATTATCCTCTTCCTCAGCCTTCCCAGTCACTGGGATTATAGGAATGTGCTAATATCCATAAATTTTATGTATGTAGATAAGGAGTTTTATAGAGGAGCAAGCATTTTAAAAAATGATTTTCGTTGATGGGGATGTAAATAAAAAAGTCTTAACTGTATTTTTATTCAGGAGTCATAGGATAGAATACACAGAATCTGACTCCAGAACACACAATCTCTTAACAATTTCTTTTTTTTTATTTTTAATTTTATTCTTAAGTTTTAGGTGAGCACAATATCTTTATTTTAGATTTATTGGTGCTGAGGATCAAATCCAGTGCCTCGTGCATGCTAGGCAAGCACTTTACCACTGAGCCACAACCCCAGCCCATCTCTTAACCATTTCTAATGTAATTGCCTCCTCGACAGAACAGTGGCATTGGCAATCTGATAGCTTTTGTTTTAGTCCTAAGTTTTATATGTAACTGCATGATTAAGAGAGAAATATGTATCTCTGAGCTGTATCTGTATCATTTATAAAGTTTATGGCATTAGAAAAAGTAATCCTTGAAGGACATTTTCAATTACAAGATGGATATAAATATTGAATAGTTTACCAGAATGACCCAAAAAAAAAAAAAAACCAAGAAAATTTTGGGTGGATTGAAGTCTGGTTGAATGTTAATTGTTAGATCTTTGTACTTACCCAATTCAGTTGAAGAGGAGGAGGAAGAAGAAGTAGTACTAGTAGAAGAAGAGACATCTACCAAGAAGAAGAAGAAAAAGGATAAAAAGAAACACATTAAAGAAGAACCAGTTTCTGAGGAAGAGCCGTGTACCAGCACAGCAATTTCTGTATGTTTAAACAATTCCTGTTTTTTAACTAAACAGTACTGTCTCAGTGTGGGCAGGGTCTCCATATTTTAATCTCTTATCTATCAGAAATGAGTAAGCATTTAAAAAAAAAACGGTTTTCATTGATGGGGGAGTAAATAAAATTGTCTTATTGTATTTGTATTATTAATGCCCAGGTTTTTGTTTTCTTTGATAGACGGTCCTGCTAAGTTGCTTTGGGCCTCAAAGAGTTTCGAGGCTGGCTTTGAACTTGATATTCTGCCTCTCAGCCTTGCGAACTGCTGGGATTGCAGGCGTGTGCCACCGTTCTCATTTAAAGACCATTTTCCAAATTTACTTTCTTACTACAAAAAAGTTTGAGGAAGGAAGAAAACATGATTTATTTTAATCTTACTCCCAAATTTGTGTTTAAGGGACATTGTTCTATTTTATAAGAAAAGTTGTTCCTCATGCATACAATTGCAGCTCTTTCAAAAGCATTCTTGTTGCTTATTTCAGAGTCCAGAAAAAAAGAAGAAGAAGAAGAAGAAGAAAGACATTGAGGATTAATGGAAAAGGAAACAATTTTGGCACCTGGAAACATCATGCTTAAGTTTCGGTTGGGAGTATGCCAGAGATGCTCTCTAAAATAATCAAGGAGAGGTTGAATGAAACAGTGATTAATCATCTCTAGCTTTTCACACTTGTGTCTTTCTTTATGTCAACTCTTGTTAACCTTATTATGTCAACATTTGTTAGAGTCTTTGATATATAAATAAAAATATTTTCTTTGTATTTTAAGGCAGGTCTGTGATCTCTTGACATTTAAGTAGTGAGTCTTTGGTCTTTTCTATATTTTATTTGATATCTAGTGATTATTGTTTTGATCATTATAGTTGAAAAGTTGTTAATGGTTTGCTTAATTTGAAACAGTCTTTTGGAAGGCTATTATTATGATAAGATGCACCGATTTAAGTACCTCATTATTACTTTTTTGGACTATTTTTCATAACCCACCAACCCACCCACGCTCTGTATTTATTTAAATAAAGATTTGTTTCATGTTCAAATTTTAAACTAGGTGAGCAAACCATTTCAGGGTCTCTCCTAGAAAAAGGAAGAAACTGTTTGTAACTTACTAAAACACCCTGGTTCAATTTTCAGTACCAAAAAGAAAAACAATGTCACTTGGAAAACAGTTGGAGAGAAAAAAAATATCAGTAGAAATGAGGCATAAACTTACAAAAGAATGCTAGAGAAAGATCTTTACCTTTTTAAAATAGTACTTATTATGCCAACAGAAACCTGTTTTCTGTATCATCATGACAGTCATAAGTTTATCAAAGTATTATATCTTGCCTCTTTATATCCTGTGGACGTAATGCTGAAGTAAGATTCAATAAAAGCATTTGGCAGACCGAAGAAGCTAGAAGCTAGAGACTCTAGCTTTGATTTCTGCTTTTCTTGTGACCACAAGCAAGTCAATAACCCTACTTCAGATTCCTAGTTTGCTGTTAGCTTTAATAGTGTGATTATTTTGCTTTGAGAAAACAATGTCGTTTTGTGGTACGCAGTAGGATGTGTCCCAGATTATATGAGGCTTTTGTTTGTTTTGTTTTGTTTTGTTTTGTTTATGGTTTTTGGTACCAGGAATTGAACCCAGGGGTGCTCAACTGAGCCACATGCCCAGTCCTTTTTATATTTTATTCAGAGACAGGGTCTCGTTAAGTTTCTTGGGACCTTGCTAAGTTGCCAAGGGTGGCTTTGAACTCACATCCTCCTGCCTCAGCCTCCTGAGCTGCTGGAAATACAGGCATGTGCCACTACACCTGGCTGTTTTTAACACCTTTCATGAAAGTAATTCATTGATCTACCAAGAATGGTATATTAAAAAGCTTTTACATCTGAAAAAAGTTTAGACTGAGAATGCTAACTAAAAACTTCTAGTGGTTTTGAATTCTTCTCTACAGGCCTGAGGAAAGCCTTAAAGTCTGTCTCTCATGATCCTTAAATTTCAGCCTTTCTGTGTTAGGTGAAACTATAGGCTCATGCCACTGCACCCACCTATACCTAATTTTGATTAGCAAATTTGAATTATTTTCTATGAACCCACATAAAATAATCCTTTCTTAAAACATTTATTCTATGGCTAGGAATGTGGCTCAGTGGTAGAGAACTTGGTTGGCATACCAAAAAAAAAAAGCTTGTAACTTGGATTCATCCTTTATCCCAACTCTACCACTAGAATGACAATGCAGTAAGGCCAAGTGTCTCAAACTTACTGATCTGAATCAAGTCTAGGTTAGCACCCATGACAGCATTTTTAGCAAGGTCTCAGGTAGTGTAAGTTGAAGGTGCACACAGTAGCCAAGTCTAGGGTAAATAATTTAAACTCATAGAACCTGTTTTTCTTTATCTGTAATTGGGTTGTTTAAAGGAGTGAGGTATTTGTGAAGAGTTAAAAAATTCCTTCTGCATTACTTGACATCTTCAGTAGAACTCTACTTACTATCAGCAATTGTTCCTGGCATAAAATAGGCTTTAATGTTCACTAATGAGTATATGGCTCATAGAAAAATTACTAATTTTATGTGTTTTATTCTGATTAAAGAATGCCCTTTCTGGTTTTTCTGCAGATGTCTTGAGAACAGCATGAACTTTAAAAAAAATAAATAAGAATTTTTTTTATTTATTTGTTTTCTCATGTGGTGCTAAGGATCAAAACTAGTGCCTCACCTGTGCTAGGCAAGTACTCTACCACTAAGCTACAATCCCAGTCCCCATTAACTTAATATTAAGGGCATAGGTGGTTGAGCCAGTATTTATTAAAGGTTTTTAATCTGCTTTATCCTATGGTAACTCATCACCAAAAGTCAAAACTTGTTAACTATTTTTTAAATATAACAACATTATAGGTACTTTTTTTTCCCCCTCCTAGCACTGGGTATTGAACCCTGGGCTTTATGTGCATGGTGAACAACTGCTTGTAGATGCTAATTTATAGTAGATTTTGTTTTGTTTGGTACTGGGGATTAAATCTAGGTGTCCTTAACCACTCAGCCATATCCCTAGCCCTGTTTACTTTTTATTTTTGAGACAGGGTCTCACTAAGTTTCTTAGGGCCTCACTAAATTGCTAAGGCTGGCCTCATGGTGGCACACATCTGAAATGGCTGGATTATAGATGTGTCCTATCATGCCTGGTTTTAGTAAGTTTTTGTTCAAAAACATTTATTAAAGCAAATGTCAGAATGTACTAAAAGCTTTGGTAGGGATTAGAAATACCCGGAGGACATGGGGGTAGGGGAGGGTTTGAACTTAGGACCTCACACTTGCTAATCATATGCCTTACCATTGAACTACAACCCCAGATCTTTTTTTTTTTTCTTCTTTGAGACAGGGTCTCAAAGTTGCCCAGGCTGGTCTTAATCTTGGATCATCCTGCTTCAGTCTCCCAAGTAGCTGGGATCACAGGTGTGGACCACCAAACCTGGCAAGAGTTTTCATTTTTGACAAATTCCAGCTGATGATGGTTAAGGGACAATACCTTTTCTAGGGGGTTTTCTTTCCATTATCTTACCTAGCTCTGCAGTTCTCCAAACTAGAACCTAATTTTATGGCCAAGATACCACCATCAGGCCTTAATTGAACTGTTTTGCTGTCAATTGTTCAGAAGCACATTGGGACTGGGCACAATCTGACTAATGTTCTTCTTACATAGTTAAAGAAAACTTGGAATTATTGTTTCCTGTCTATTAGAATTTAGTTTTTGAATTCCTGTTTCTGTGAGTGTTCTGTGTATATTTTGTATAAAATGAGGAAAAACCAGTTGTTTAAATTTGTGGGCTCATTTGAAACAGCACATAACAAACAGCAAAAAGCTCACATGTAATGCAAAATCATTTGAAAGAAACATTAGTGAGATAATAAACTTACGACTAGTCCCACAAATGTAAATGACTAAGCATATCCTTGACTTATTTTGGTTGATTATAAACAAGGACTGGTGCTTCATATTAGTTATGGTTTACATATTAGGTGTCCACCAAAAGCATATGTGAGACAATGCAATGATTGTGTTATGAGAGCCTTAACCCAATCAGTGAATTAATCCCCCACAGAGATTATCTGAGTGGTTACTAAGTGGGTAAGATATAGCTGAAGGAGGTGGGTCATTGGGGCTGTGCCTTTGATGTATATATTTTGTGAGCTTAGTCTTTCTGCTTTCTGGTGTGATGTTCCCAGCTGCTTTCCTCTGCCACACTCTTTGGCCATGATGTCCTGCCTTACCTTGGGCCTGAAACTGTGAGCCCCCAGATAAACATTTCCTCCTAATTGTTCTTATCAGGTCTTTTGGTCACAGCATCAAAAAAGCTGACTAAAACAATATTCAAGCACCTCTACTATTTAGTACTTTCCTTTGAAGTTTAGTTTTGGGATTTTGTTGTGATTTTGTTTGTTGCCATAAAGCTTCAGTGAATGCCTTTTGTGCATTTATCATGTGCTTGTGTTTAAATAGGATAGGGCTGGGGTTGTAGTTCAGTTGTACAGTGTTTGCCTAGCATGCATTAAGGCCTAACTTCCATGTCCAGCACTGCAAATTTTTTAGATGTAAAATTATTGTGACAAAGGGAATAGATAAGTGTAAAATAGTGACAGTTTGCTCAAAACGTAGCAGTAATTTTCAGTCCAACCTTATTAGAAAGCCACTATTTCAGAAACTCTTTTTAAAAAGAGAGTTGTCCCACCTACTCATGACACACTTTTAGACACAGCAGCATTTTTTTTAAAATGGTATTTTAATCAAATGGTTTTAACCTGGATAATGTCCTCTTAAAATTCTGTAGTCTAAGATGGATAAGAAAATTCTACTCTATCAGTACAACATTGAAATCATACTGAAGCTCATACACTCCCACTCAGCCTTAACTACAAATCCAACGAGGGAATTTGTGACTAGAAAAAGGTATCCCTTCAACACACTGTAATGCTGAAGTACCAGAAAGTTTTTGGGACTGTAAGTCAATGACTAGGAGGTGTCTGCCCCTGATTTTTTGGTTTTCTGCAGTGAACATCCTGCACTACTTTTAACAAGCTGTAATTCTGGTCCACCATCACTTAATTGGAAAATTCAAAATAATAAGCCTAAAAGGATAATTAACATTTTATTGATTACTACTCTGTATCCAGCATTCCTCAAGCCCTTTAATTAACTTAAGTCTAACAACCCTTTCTAACAGATTCTATCATCTTGCCTGCTTACACATGAGGAAATTGATAACATGTTAAGGAACTTGGTTGATGCCATTTAAATCATTGGGAACAATGGGGTATGGGAATATTGAAGGCATTCTGCCTCTAAGGCCAATGGCCAGTGATTCTGAAAAATGCAAGCTACTCTATGTTGGAACATTTTTCTTAGTAGCCTAAAGAGAATCCTATAATTTCAAAATAAATAAATTGTTTGGTTTTAGAAATAAATTGTGTGGGCTACCCTTGCAGAGACAGGTTGAAATAGCTGTCACCAGAGCTTTTTCATTGAACCTGAGGATCCCAATGCTGGTATTTTCTATTCTGTGATTTAAACCAAACCCAAAGACCTAGCAGGCCACCAATCAATAGCTTTGGATGTAGTTCCCAAGAACTGACCTAGTGTGTTTGTACACCTGAGGTTCCACCGGTCAAGTCAGCCATTACAATATCAAGTCCTATATCATAGCAGAAAATGGCAGCCTTCAGAGTTGGAAGACACACTATTATTAGCATAGCTTTGTTGACATCCCTTATAAAAGTGACCAAATTGAACAAACACTACAACCCCTGATTATGTAGATGTCGAGATACTTAAGAATTACGAGTAGAAATGAAACAATGGAAAATGACAATAAATTCCTCAAAAATTTGATGTGTCTATTAGTACCAGCAGAGGAGAATAGGAGATTTTAGAGGCCAAAGGAATCCGATTGTCTAGTACAGCTCTATTGCTGCAAATGAAGATTTTGGTCTGAAAGAGACTTTCACCACACTATACCCAGTGTGCTGGCATATTCCAAGGATTTTAGGTTTGCGGTTTTCTTTTAGCAATATGGAGAAAATAGTTTCTCTTATAAAAAGTGTTGGCTGGGCATGGTGGTACATTCCCGTAATTCTAGCAATTTGGGAAGGGTGAGGCAGGATTGCAAGTTTGAGGCCAGCCTGGGCAACCTAGTGAGAACCTATCTCAAAATAAAAGGGCCTTGGAGATGTAGCTCAGTGGTACAGAGCTTTCCAGTCTGTGAGAAGCCCTGAGACCAATCCCCAATATATATATATTTTTTTACACATTTAATTGAACATTTGAACCCATCTATCGGAATCACAGAAAGCAATCAGATCAGAATATGTAACATTAAATTGGGGGCAGGCTACAAAAGAATTTCATTATGATTGCTTCTTGAGAATTAAGGGAGGTGTGGAGGATATAGGACTACTGGTTTTGTTATGTCGTTATTAGTGTATGTATTGCTTAGAAAAAAAAGTAATAATAATAATTTTTTTTTTGGTATTGGTGATTGAACCCAGGATCTCACAAAAGGTAAGCAAGTACTCTACTGCAGAACTATATCCTCAGTCCTTTTTAAATTTTATTTCGAGACTGTCTTCCTAAATTGTCCAGGCTGGCCTCAAACTTGCCATTTTACTGCCTCAGCATCCTGAATAGCTGGGATTAACAGGTTTGCACCACCTCACCCATCCTGAATTCAAATTAAGAAAAAAAAAATATTTAAAAAGAAATACATGGGCTGGGAATGTGGCTCAGGCGGTAGCGCGCTCGCCTGGCATGCGTGCGGCCCGGGTTCGATCCTCAGCACCACATACAAACAAAGATGTTGTGTCCGCCGAGAACTAAAAAATAAATATAAAAAAAAAAAAAAAAAAAGAAATACATGTGGGGAAGAGGGGCTTTTCTGTATCAGGTGGGCAAAGTACAATCTGAGGTCCAAATCTAGGCAAAGTTTTACAAATAAATTTTTAATACTACATAGCCATGCCCATTCATTTCAGAAGTATCTATAGCTATATGGCTTTTGTTTCCACAGCAGAATTTAGTATTTATGAAGACATATAGCTCATAAAGCCTAAAGTCTTTACTATATGGTCCTTTACAGGGAAGATTTTCTGACTCCTGCTTTGGATTAAAATGGAACTTGACAGAGTCAAATGCAATGTGTGAACCTTTATTTACTCTGGTTCCAAAAAACAAAAGCTTGGAGACAGGCAAGTTTTTTGTTGTTGTTGTTGTTTTTGTTTTAAAAATTTTTAACTTGTAGATAGACATGATACCTTTATTTTTTTTTAATTTATGTGGTGCTAGGGATCAGACCCAGTGCCTCATGCATGCTAGGCAAGTGCTCTACCACTGAGGTACAACACCAGCATGAGACAGGGAAATTTTAATGTAAACCATGTTGATTGATTTCACAGAAAATCAATGGTTAGTTAACTTGTTTTGTATGTGGTAATGGTACTGTGGCAATTGGGAGAATGTCCTTAGTTTTTAAAGATGCATTCTGTTGGAGAGAAATACCCTGTTGTCAATCATTTATTTTCTAGTGGTTTAACAAAATTGATGAATATGTAAATAGATGAAGCAAATATGGTAAGCAACCTGTATTCCCAGTGGCTCAGGAGGCTCAGATAGGATCATGAGTTCAAAACCAGCCTCAGCAAAAGAAAGGCGCTAAGCAATTCAGTGAGACCCTTTCTCTAAATAAAAAATAGGGCTGAGGATGTAGCTCAGTGGTTGAGAGCCCCCAAGTTTAATCCCCAGTACCCCCCAAAAAATAGAAAACAATTGTTGAAATATGTGGCATTTGGGTACATGGAATTCATACTATTCATTTTTTCTGTATGCTTTATTAATAAAATCTGATTTTAAAAAGCAAGAACATGGTATTTATTTTGCTTTAATTCTAAGTTCTTTGAAAACTTCCAAGGTCTTTATGACATTCTTGGCCAACAAGTATTTGGGACACTCACTGTGGGCCAGGCATTCATTAGATAGCAGGGAGAACTTGAACAGAAATTGCAGCAGCTTCTGCCTATAGGGAGTTCCCAGAATGAACCTCAGACCTACAGCCCTCCTAATGAGAAGACATGTTCTCTTTTAAGTCCCTTCTTGAGGAAGGGGGAAAGCAGGGAAGCAGCAGATAGAGATCTCAAGTAAAGATGAGAATTATGAAATTTTGCAAAGCAGACAAATGCTATGAAGTGTAAATTGTGTTATGGAAAAGAAACCATCCTTCTCCCCTCTCTTCTAGCCACAAGATACTACACATTTAAAATTACAAAGCAGCAGAGAGAGCAGAAGAGAGCCATACCAGGTAATAGAGCTAGAAATACAGCAGCAACACATTGTACTCCATCTCCCCACCCCAAACTTGTCCCTGGAGCTCTGGCAATGGTACTGACCTGGAGAGCTTTTCTATGCCATAAAAATGAAGGGAGCCCATCAGGTGCATTCTTGGGGCCTCATAAAGCTGCCTTTTTAACCTGAGCCAAGAAGGGTACGCCTTGGTTCCTAGCAGGGTTAAATGTGTCTGACTCCAGGAAAAGAATCAAGCAGACAACAAGTGCATCTATTTATATCTTAAAATCTGCTGGGCCAGCAACAAGCTAATAACCAACTGAGCATGATGGAGAGGCCACAGATGACTGTCAGAAAGGAAAGAGCCCTGCACTAGTGGTCAAAGAAAATAGTACATGTTAAAGTGCTGCATAAACCAAAAGTCGCTATGGAATGTCCTTGCTATTGTCATGAACTGATTTCACCATCTATTAATTTGTGTCCTTAAACAAGTCAACCTGTGCCCTCTCGATTCCCTATTTGTAAAGCAGACATAAATTTCTGTTTATCCAGGAAACAGATCATTTATGCAAAAGTTCCTTATAGGGTTGGGATTGTGGCTTAATGGTAGCATCCTTGCCTAGCCTGTGTGAGGCAGGCACCATATAAAAAAATAATTTTTTTTATTTGCAGCACCATATAAAAAATAAGTAAAAATAAAGATATTGTCCATCTACAACTAACTAAAAAATATTTTAAAATAAGTAAAATATAAAATATAAGTAAAAATATAAAAAATAAGTAAAAATAAAGATATTGTGTTCATCTACAGCTGAAAATGTTTTTTCAAAGTTCCTTATAAACTGAACACTTAAGCATTATTATTATTCAATCTCTGTTCTACTTAGAAAACAGGAAAATGCAAGAGTTAAAGATTCCAGGGGAGAAGTCAATGGGAGTATGTTTTAGTCAGGTTTTTTTTTTGGGGGGGGGCGGTCATCGTGACCAAAAGACCTAATAAGAACAATTTTTGAGGAGGAAAAATACATTTGGAGTTCATGGTTTCAGAGTTCTCAGTACATAAACTGCCAATTCCATTGCTCTGGGCCTAAGGTGAGGTTGAACATATGGTGGAAAGCAGCTCAGGACATGAAACCAGGAAGCAGAGAGAGAGAGAGACTCTTCTCTCCAGGGACAGAATATATATATCAAAAGCATGTCCCCAGAGACCCACTTTCTCCAGCCACATCCTACCTGCCTATTACCACCCAGTTAATCCATTGAAGTGGATTAATGCACCAATTAGGCTAAGGCTCTCATAACTCAATAATTTCATGCAATTTTCTTGCATTGTTTCACACATGAGCTTTTGAGGGATACCTAATATCTAAATCATAACAAGAATTAGGTCAATTTTTATGGTATCTAGCAGCCACCTGTTTATTATACTCATTTTCTTTATTTCTAGGCATACACCTATACTCTATTCCTCAGCTTTGCAGTTAGATGTGGCCCTGTCGCTGAATTCTAATCAATGGGATGGTAATGGGTGGTAGCCATGCGCATCACTTAAAGTCTGTTTCATAAAAAAAAAAAAAAACATTACACTCCTTATCTTCAGATACTGGCTTTTGCAGACACAGTGACTTTGGAGATATTGTCAAAGAAGATACAAGGTAGAAGAAGCCGGGTGCGGTGACCCACACCTGTAATCCCAGCAGCCCAGGAGGCTGAGACAGGAGACTTGCAAGTTCAAAGCCAGCCTCAGCAGTGGCGAAGTACTCAGCAACTCAGTGAGACTCTTGTCTGTATAAATAAAACACAAAATAGGACAGTGGTCTAGTGCCCGAGTTTAATTCCTGGTACCAAAAAACAGAAGAAGAAGAAAGAAGCCTGGGGTCCTGAATCAACAGTAGTATGGAGAACAGCTCCTCACAGATCAGGAGCATCCAACTTAAGACTTTTGCTACGTTTGTTCCACTTACATTACTATGTGAAATTGTCAATGTTTGACTACTTTTGACCTATAAAAATGTTAATTTTACATAATTCAACCTAAGACATTTTGTGCTGCAGTCTGGCTGGGCACAAATCACGAGCCACTGAAGCAGGAACAAACTTTATTTCTGAACTCCACCAGCACACTCCACACATGCTCCCGGGAACTCCCTCGAACACCGTGGCTCCTCCAGGAACCAGCAACCGGAAAATTCCCTCCTCCAGCAATTCCCCAACCAATGGGAACTCTCCGGGAATCCCCGCGAGAGCTCAAGCGGAACTCAACGTCATCATCTTAATGGCTCTCTAGCGTCACCTCTCAACCACTACTTCTGGCAAAAATGCCATGCGTCATCCCGACTCGGCTGTGGCCCTCAACAATTTTGGATTGTTTTAGGAGCATTGTAACTGTCATACACCATCTTTTTTTTTAATATTTATTTTTTAGTTTTCAGGGACACAACATCTTTGTTTGTATGTGGTGCTGAGGATCGAACCCAGGCCACACGCATGCCTGGTGAGCATGCTACCGCTGAGCCACATCCCCAGCCCCACCATCTTAAACTAAATCTTCTTAACAGTCACATTTTCAAAGATGAGAAGGAAAATTAGGATTCTTGAGTTCATGGATCAGAGATTGTAAACTGCCTACTTTGGGTCCAAATTTGTGTACAAAAATATTGTTATTTGCTCTATAAAATGTTGGCCCAAATTGGAGCAATCCTGTAATCCCAACGGCTCAGGAGGCTGAGATAGGAGGATGGCAAGGCACTAAGCAACTCAGTGAGACCCTGTCTCTAAATAAAATACAAAATAGGGCTGAGGATGTGGCTCAGTGATTGAGTGCCCCTGAGTTGAATCCCCAGTATTAAAAAAAAAAAAAGTTGTTATTGAATCAAATATTTTTCTGTCATGCACTCAAAAATATTTTTGTCTGTTTTTGTTTGTTTCACACTTAGAAATAATGTAGCAAAGCAGGGTTGGGTTGTGTGATAGAGGGCTGGCACAAAGCCCTGGGTTCAATTCATCAGTGCCCCTAAAAGTGTAGCAAAGAAAAAACTTCAAACCCAATTTTAAAAGCCCAAGGAACAAAACTTAATAATTAAATCATTAAGGTTTTCAGAGGGAGAGAGAAAATTATAATTATGGGATGAGAAAGCACAACATAAAATTCAGAAAACAGGGCCGTCCCGGAGTCTACAAGCCTTCCATCTTTCACAGCTTGCTTCTCAGCCTAGCCCAGCCTCACCGTGGGCACCTTCGTGGGCACCTTCGTGGGCACCTGGAAACTAGTGGACAGCAAGAATTTTGATGACTACATGAAGTCACTTGGTGTGGGCTTTGCTACCAGGCATGTGGCCAGCATGACCAAGCCCACTACAATCATCAAAAAGAATGGGGACACCATCATCTTAAAAACACAGATCACCTTCAAGAACACGGAGATCAGTTTTCAGCTGGGGAAGGAGATTGATGAGACTACAGCAGATGACAGGAAGGTCAAGTCCACTGTGACGCTGGATGGAGGAAAACTTGACCATGTGCAGAAGTGGGACGGGCAAGAAATTACGCTTGTGCGGGAGCTAAATGATGGGAAACTCATCTTGACACTCACCCATGGCATTGTAGTGTGCACTCACACTTATGAGAAAGAGGCATGACCCACCAGCACTGTCACTGACTGTTCCTCTGTCAACTGGCCACCCCTGGACTCAGCACCACATTGCCTCATTTTTTTTTCCTCTAGCATTTTGTATAAACCTACTTTGGGGAATTCTTCTGGGATCAGGTGACACCAGCCTGGATCTCCAGTTTCCACTGTGTATGTATGTGTTTCTTTTCTTTTTTTTAAAACTGTATCTAAATATGCTCTGAAGTCAATAAAGCAGAGCAGAGACCCCGCAGTTGCCTCTGGTGATGTGAAAAAAAAAAAAAAAAGAAAAGAAAAGAAAAAAGAAATAAATTCAGAAAACTGGAAAAAATTCAGTGATAGAGTATTTGCCTAGAATGTATGAAGTCCTAGGTTTGGTTTCACAAAATAAATATAAAAGGAAGAAGAAATAAAAAGATTAATAAAATTGACTATATTAAAACTTTTGGATAGCCAGGCATGGCGGCACCTGCCACATGGCATATTCCATTATCTAGAGAGGCTGAGGCAAGAGGATTGCAAGTTCAAGGCCAACCTCGACAACTTGGCAAGACCCTGTCTTAAAATTAAAAAATTAAAGGGCTAGGGCTAGGTGCAGTGGCACATGCCTGTAATCCCAGTGGCTCAGGAGGCTGAGGAAGAAAAGTCGCAGTTGAAAGCCAGCCTCTGCAATTTGTGAGGCCCTATCTCAAAATAATTTTTTAAAAAACAGGGCTAGGGATGTAGCTCAGTGATAGAATGCCCCTGGGTTAGTCCCTAGTACCACAGACATTAAAAAAAAAAATGTGTAGGAAAAATACTTCTTGGTTAGCAAAAATACTGTAGGATAGTCAAAATATAAGAAATATTATCTTTACTATGTAAAGAGATTAAGAAAATTAAGATGAAAAATAGTAACAGGCAGTTCTAGGATAAAAAGTATACATAGATGAATGATCAAAGAATGTAAGAAAAGTTATACTTTGTTAAATTGCCAAATAAATAATACTCTTTGTTGTCCAGAGCACTGGGAGAATATTTCTTTCTTTTTCTTTTTTTTTTTTTAGAGAGAATTTTTTTTTAATATTTATTTTTTAGTTATTGGCGGACACAACATCTTTATATGTGGTGCTGAGCATCAAACCTGGGTCGCACACATGTCAGGCGAGCGCGCTACCGCTTGAGCCACATCCCCAGCCCATATTTCTTTCTTTTCTTTCTTTCTTTTTTTTTTTCTCAGCAGCACTGAGGCTTGAAGGGAGAATATTTTCCTAATAGCTATGAAAAGTAAAAATACCAACCAAGCAATGCTACTGCTAGTTTTGTACGTACATAATCACGCAAGTCATTAAAGCCCTTGTTTATAATAGCAAAACAAACCAGAAACAACTATAATATCCCATAAATATGGCTAGTAGTTCATCTTATGACTAAAACATTTAGCCATTAAGGGACTGGGGTTGTGGCTCAGCGGTAGAGCGCTTGCCTAGCACATGCCGGGCCCTGGGTTCGGTCCTCAGCACCACATATAAATCAGTAAAATAAAAGTATAAAAAAAAAGTTTAGGGGCTGGGTCTGTGGCTCAGTGGTAGAGTGCTCTCCTTGCACGTGCAAGACCCTGGGTTCAATCCTCAGCACCACATAAAAATAAATAAGTGAAATAAAGGTATTAAAATATTTTTTAAAATTTAGCCATTAAAATACAAATGGATCTCCTAGATGAATTATTATAGTGGGAAAAGCAAAGTGCAGAGAACAGTGTGGAACTAGTTTGTAAAATTTTTTTTTTTTAAACATTTTCTAGTATTGATTTTTTAGTTTTAGGTGGACACAATATCTTTATTTATTTTTATGTGGTGCTGAGGATCAAACCCAGTGCCTCATGCATGCTAGGCAAGCACTGTACCACTGAGCCACAACCCCAGCCCTGTAAAATATTTTGAAAGATACATGTACTAATTTGTCTTCCATTACTACAGTAAAATGCCAAAAGTTGAACACTTATAAAGAAAATAAGTTTATTTACTTACAGATTTGGAAGTTGAAGTTAAAGTGGATGGCCCTACTTGTTTGGTTTATGATGAGAGCCTCGTGGCAGATGGAATCATGGCAGGAGTGTCTAGATAAATAGTGATCACATAAACAGGAAGCCAGGGGGTGGGGAGGATCTTGAATTTTTACTACAACCCCTCTTGAAAGAATTAACCCAAGAAGACTGCCTTAAAATTGTATCTTCAACATTGCCACACTGACCACCACGTGAATCTTTCAGGCATACACTCACCCATATCCAAACCATAGCAATGTGTATGTACCCCTATGACCTGTGTACAAGAAACTATTAATATTTGCCACCTTTGGAGACAGGGATTTGAGGTTTGGAAATCAGAGGGTGGTAAGATTTTTGTTCTTTGTTCCCTTCCATAGTTTCATTAAAAAAAAAAAATGCCTGGGTCATTGTCACATATTTTCATTAAAAAAAAAAAGAAGACAAAAACATAGACTAGCCAGGCACATGGTATAATTCCAGCAACCTGGGAGGCTGAGGCAGAAGGATTGCTAGTTAAAGGCCAGCCTAAACAACTTAACAAGAACCTGTCTCAAATGTAAAAAAATAAATAAATAAAAATAGAAAGTCAGGGGCTGGGTTTGTGGCTCAGTGGTAGAACACTTGCCTATCACAGGTGAAGCATTGGGTTCCACCCTTAGCACCACGTAAAAAATAAATAAGATAAAGGTATTGTGACCATGTACAACTAAAAATATTTTTTAAAAAATAGTCTGGGGATATAGTTCAGTGGTAAAGCATTCCTGGGTTTAATACCCAATAGCAAAAAAATTAAAAAATAAACAATGCTATAGGCAGTGATGCTGGCTGTTCGTCTTATTTTTGCTTGTTTGTTTTTAGCCTGCAGAGTTCATGAGGGAATTTATTGTTGTTTTCTTTTTTTTGCGGGGGGGCGGGGCGGGGGCAGAGGTACCAGGGATTGAGAGAGAGGGTGCTTAATCACTGAGTCACATCTCCAGCCCGTTTTTATTTTTTATTTTGAGACAGGATCTTTCTAAGTTGCTCAGGGCCTCACTAAATTGCTGAGGCTGGCTTTGAACTTTAGTTACTCCTGCCTCAGCCTTCCGAGCTTCTGGGATTATAGGTATGTGTTACTGCACCTGGCTTGTTTTCAAGATGTGGTCTCACTAGTTTGCCTAGGCTGCCCTCAAATTCCTTGGCTCAAGCAATCCTCCTGCCTCAGCCTCTTTAGGCTGAACTGTCACTGAGCCCATCTAAGAGGCTTTTTTTTTTTTTTTTTGTAGTTTAGTTTTGTAGTTTTAACAATGTTATCAGTAGGGTTTTTCCAGTAAGAAACAAAGTTGGAAGAGAAGTATGATTGGACAAATTCTTTGAGTTGCATCAGTTCTCTGTACATAGTTCATAAGCTTCCAATTATTATTCTTTATACCTCAGGCCAAAACATCACTTATTAATTAATGCCTCATCTTCATTTTATAGAAGAACTGTAATCTCAGCAGAGTTATGGTGACAGAATTACACCTGCATCTCCCACCTGTTTAATTTGTTGAAGAAATATTATGTTATGCAATGCTGATTGGAATTAATGCAAATGACCCGATTTGATCTTACATGATCTGTAATGACTGAAACGAAAGCACAAATAGATATTTATGACTTTGCTTTTCATTCTCTACTTGCTCTAGATGTGCTTTTCTCTTTCTCACAATCTTCCTCAGAGTTTGCCTTCATTTCTCATCAATTCTTGTGATTGGGTTTTCTTCTCCCTTTCCAAATCACAGATGTTTTCCCATTCTGTGAAAACTAGGGACTGGCTAGCCAGAACATTACTGTAATTGTGTTCTGGAGGAAATCCTTTCTTTTACTGCCAGGAATTTCAGGCTCCAAAAAGGGGGAGGTGGGGGTGGGGTGGGGCTGGCACACTGCCAGGTAATTGCCTCCTTCTTCCCTTTAGCCATCTGCAGGCGACTGGCTGGAGCCCGAGGGTAAAACCACAGCCTCCAGGCTTGGAAGGAAGGGACTTTCAGGGATCCTGGAAGTTGAGTTGATCCTGGTCATTTCTCTACCATACAAGCAGGACCTCTATTAAGCCAGAGTCTAGCAAATTTTAATGCCTTCTAAAAGTAGAAACCATATAAACTCTGTTGATCACAGATAGTCAATGTTAAAAACCCAATTATGAAACCTTTTCTTTCACCTAAACTAGGGGTTGGGTTTGTGGTGTATCTTGTCTAGTATATATGAGGCCTTAGGTTCAATCCTCAGTACTGCAAGAGTAAAATAAACCAAAGATTGGTTTTTGCAAAGAACCAGTACATATTTTAGGCTTCACAGACCACATGATCTCTGTTGGGACTACTTACTTAATTCCATCATTGTAATGCCAAAGCAGCATTGTGATACCAAAACAAATGAGTGTGGCTGTGTTCCAATAGAACTTTATTTATGGACACTGAAACGTAAATTGAATTTAATTTTCACATGTCATACAACACTATTCCTTTAATTTCCAGCCATTAAAAAATGGGCTCATGGGCCACATAAACTGTGTATAGTTTGCTGATCCCTGATCTAAAGGAAGTGGTTTTCAAACTGCTTTGGCAACCCATCTGAGGGGGAGAAAGACTCTCTTGGCTACAGAATATGCCTCCCAGGCTTCCTTTTTCCATTTTTTTTTCTGTTTTGTATTTTGGCCTCCCAAGTTTTGCTTTATTTACAGAGTTTCATAGTTAAAAGTTTAAAAATCCCCTGATCTAACCAGAATCTTTTTTTTTTTTAATTTCAGTCCAGTCCATTTTTTTTTTCTTGGTCTTCCCTCAGTAGAGATGGAGAACAGTTGGTCATCTAGTTCATTTTAAGGACCTCTTAAGGAAGTTATCATGAGGTAATTGAAAACTCAAGCTTTGTCCTTTTCACATACTTCATAAATCTGTCAGATACCCCCCCCAATCCTCTAATTCATATTATTGCCCTTCTCTCCAAAGTCCTATAAAATTCCAAACTGAACTGGGTCTGGGAGCATACACCTGTAATCCCAACTAGTTGGGAGGTGCAAGCAGGAGAATTGCAAGTTTGAAGCAGCCTGGGCAATTTAGTGAAAGACCTTTCTCAAAAAGAAAGAGTCTAAGAGGGAAAGAGTCTAAGAGGGAAAATCACCTGGGGTTAGAATTCAGAAAATCTTGAATTGACAGGAAGAAAACTGGAAAGTAGGTAAAAGCAAGAGTCTTGGGATTGGAGCTTTGAACAACCAGAGGTGCCTCTGGATCATCCCCCATGCCTCTTTTATACACAAATAATGCAAATACGTTCATCA